GAGATTTTGTGTACGCCGGTTGCGAGAGGTGTGGTTTATTGTCTGTTGGCGAAAGCGGTGTCGTTTCACTCAGTGTGGGCATATGCTGAGGCTGCTTGAAACGATCTGGTCGCTTGCCTCTCTGGGAACCGTGCTGAGACTTGATTCGTGTTAAGGTCGTCGTCTCGTGGTCTTGTTTCGAGAGGCTCTTGTCATGACTGAGAGATTCCAGACGGCCAATGGCATCCTTGTTTCCATGATCGGCTGCGAGCTGATACCATTTTCGCGCATCCGGGATACTCTGGTTCACGTGGATGCCGATTTCGTAATAGTAACCCATAGCGAACTCGCCAGTTGGAAGCCTAGCGGCAGCAGCTTCCTGTGCATACTTGAAAGCGAGCTCCTCGTTCTTCTTGAATACACCTTCGTAGCCAAACAAAAACCATCGACTGACGCCGAGAGCAGCTTCTGGAAGTCCTTGTTTGGCGGCCAAGCCATAGTAATGCAGCGAGTAGGACGGATTAAACTCGCAACCGAGTTGGCAGAGTTCGTAAGCTTGACCCATCTTCAGTTGGGCTTTGGCAAACCCGAGATACGCCGCTTTCTCAACATACATTTTGGCTGTCTCCAAATTATACGGCAGCAGACCGTCGGGGACGTTGATGTCTGGCAAGTCGCGTCCTACCAACATGCCGTACACGTATGAACCTTGTGGCGCGTCCTCATCAGAGCCATCTGCGGCAGCCCGAATACGTTCCAGCCCGACAGCATAGTCCTTGGTCTCACCGTGCTGCCCAAGGAGACTCATCATGCCCATACGATATAGGGCTGCCGAGTCCTTCAAGCTCATGCCTTTGTAGTAGTGCTCTTTGGCTTTGGACATGTCGTTGGACTGCTCATAAAGCATGCCCATGCGATACTCAGATCTTGCGTTCCCTAGCTCTGCTGCTCGCTTGTAGCCGCTATACGCTTCACGTTTATCGACCCGGTGTCCAAACTTGCCGAACTCTAGCCACTTGGAGCGCATGTACAAAGCCTGGGGATGCTCCTGTCCGGCCAAGTAATTAACGATATTCAGCGCGTCTAGTCGTAGTTCGTGTTCGATGCGAGGTGTAGCTGGCCGGGGTTTTTCTGCAGATTCTCGTGCCACGGCATCCATGGCAATTTCGGCCCAGATCAGGACGTCCCCAGCCCAGCTGATCTGCATCCTCACATCCTGCGAGTGCAAAACGTGTTTGCGAGCATTCCACAGAATTTCCTCTTTTGAATCATCGGCCGGAGGAATGTTGTCGCCAGCGACCTTGGGAAACGGAGAAAAAGACGGGGCATCGCGCCCCATGGTGTCAAGTCGCTGTGCCCGACCCTCGGTATCTTTGTATGCCGTTATATCGCTGTCGACTTGGGTCGTAACCGTGTTTGGCACTCCTGACTGATCAGTTTGGGGGTAAGAGTGACGTGGCGTGATTGTAGACAGCGATGGTTGTCGGCTGTATTGTGACGGGGCTTCGCGAGTTTCTCGCTTTTCACTATCTGTGGCCTCTAATTCTAGGCGCTGCAAGTCATCTTGCATATTTTGGGGAACTTGAGGGGTGACCCTGGACGTTGGTGATAGAGAGAGCTGTTAGCATGGCGCCCCACAAGGCCAACAATAGAATCCCGAAACTCAGCAACAATGAGTATCCGAACCGAACCAGAATCACGCTTCAGGTAATATGCAGGCGGGATAGACAACCTAGTAGACATATTGCGCGGAACGTACCTCTGCGGAGAAGGGGCCACGACCTCGGGCAGGTAGTAATCATCGAAGCCTCCGGGCACGAAAGTCGCCCCGAACTGAGGTGCCATCTCGCTCGACAATGACGGGGACCTGGCTTGGGCTTCTAATAAGGAAACACGGTTGCGGGTTAGTCGTCTTTCACTCAAACGTAAATTATTTACCCATGAGGGCGCAGTTTGAGCATTCGTAGACTCAAAATAGAAGGCTCGAGCCTTAGGATGCAGGTTCGGGTTAACGCAGACAGATGAGGCGGTCGGTAGGTACCAAAGTAGGTCGGACGTCAAGTGCTCAACTGTTTGGAAATGCGGTAGGACTGGTTCGGGTTCTAACCGTTTTATTATTGACGCACAACTCGGCCGCAAAGAGGGAGGAGGCAAAGGTAGGTAGGCATCAAGACAGCCAACAAAAGTCTCCGTCAGTGCCGTTGCCGTTGGCGTAGCCGTTGCCGTTGCCGTTGGCGTGGGCGTTGGGAAGATGGATGCTCGAGTGGAGTTGCAGCGAGGCTGGACACAGCAGAGCTCGCACAACCGTGACACCGCTTGCTGGATGGGCACGATATATATGGAGGTAGGAAGGAAGTACTTGAGTAGCCTGAATGCCTGATCTAGTGTTCAAGTGCGTGTTTGTCAGCTGGGCTGACTCTAGTTGAACAAGATGCGTCCGTCGTAGAGCATGTGGCGATGCATACTGCCCGAAGTGTTCACGTCGCTGCCCCGCCGGGTTCAGGCGGATTTGAAAGGTGCCAATGCCAGCACAGGGTTCAGTGTTGAGCTTTGGCTGTCGTTGACCCGTCAAATCTTGGGAAGTGGGGGCCGTTCTGGGGCGCATGCAAGAGTAATTAAAATCGATAATAATAAATCCTGGCAACCACACTCGGGCGGTTCGCCAGAGGTCAGATGGCTCAAATGCGACATCTGGCCCTTGACCCAAGGGAAACAAGCTTATCGCGTGCTGAGGCTGACCTTTGAATGGTCTTGGCTGAATTTGTCCTCCGGAGAAGGAGTTTGGCGCGGATAATGGTGAAAAGAACAAGTGTTGAGCAATGCCAACGGACTGGATGGAGTGCCTCCTAGCATCCCCCGGCACATCTACTATGGCACATGTATCTACAGCCACCCATGATACTTGTCGGCGGGCGTACCCCATGCATTACTTGTAACAAGGGGCCAATTTGGGTGCTTGATACCGTCTGGTAATGCGTACGGAGTACTGCATCGCCAAAATTGACCGAGGAGTAAAATGAGCAAAACAGCTCTGGCGCGACTAGGGCGCCTGAACACAGCGAAAGCTTAAAAACCTGCTTACCTGGCGTTTCGTCATCTTTCCTACTCTTACTCATTGTTGTGGTTAGCTGCAAAATCTTGCGCCGACGGTTGCTGTTGCGAGAAGAAACGGCTGTGAACGGCTCGCTCGTCTCGATTGTAGAGGACGCTCAAAGAGCTAATTTTGGAATGGTTCCGACGCAAATGTCGGCGGCAGACTCGAATGCGAAGTCGATTTCGTAGTAACGCTTGTGCGACGAGTGAACGAGGCCATCAATGCTGTCCGAGCTTCTCCAAGGTGGGATCACGGCTGTCCCGTTGGTTACTTCGACCGGTGACGTTGACGACAAGTACGTCACCAAGCGCGTGAGATGTCGCGACTGATGGACAGCATCGTCCACTCAGAAACGATATCGACACCGAGAAGTCGTACACGAATAATAAGTGGTGGCTACAGATGCTTCCTATTGCCCTTTTTGACCTGGGAAGCACCTGCAGTAGTCGGCCGATGTGTGCAAACGTGCATTTTGGTTGCTGCTAGCATTCTCCACTTGACATGATACTCCCCTCCCAAAGCTTGGGCTCTACAAGGTACTACATGGTTCAATATGGTCAATAGAATCGCAGTTTCCTGTAAAATGACAGAGCAGGACGACATTTGCTGACTTCTGATGCCATGACGGACTGACAGCCAGGTGGCAAAGAATGTCTGACACTTGTGCGCCCTTTCAACAAAGGAGGCCAACTAAACATTGAAGTCGTTAGACATTGACATCGACATGTGCTCTAAACTCGAAGAGCATGCGGGTTATGGCCAAACGTCTGGAGCTATATTTGGCCAACACAGCCCTGCATCCCAGCAGACAGTGAACCCACCCACCATGGCTGAATCGGCTATCTTTAGACGTCAACTCGTACGTTGACCTAAGTACGGTATTACGTGGTGCGGCACTGCAGGACCACTTGCTGACATCAGGAAAGGATATTGCGTTCAGTCTTATTAGTCTTGCTTGTTTACTCTCTTTCCCCTCTTTTCTCTCTATTCTTTCTTCCTTTCCTCACTATTTTTTTCTACTTCGGGCGGTTCTGCCGCGGTTCTGCTCTCAATGGTCAAAGGGGAAACCGTACGCACTCCTTGAGTTGCATGTTGCCATGTTGCCGGCGTGTGGTCAATGTTACAATGCCAACTTGGCAGTCGGAATGGTGCCGACATGGAGTGATTTGGAGTCGACTACTGTCAGCAGACAGCTATGACTAGCACTTGAGCACTAACTGCACCATTGTGTACTGTACTAGTGGAGGAACTGCCTGGGCTTGCTTACCTGGGCCCGAGTAAGCCACACACAAAAACAGCCAAGCATTCTCAGTTTTCTACTCCGTATTTGCCCATCAACCCGTTCCTTCACAATACGTCAATAGTAATGTCAGCCTCGCAGGAGGTTCACTCAGGTGGAGTGAGTACTCGATGACCCACGACCGGTTAAGTTTACGTATGCAACCTATCAGCAAGCAATTATTTCTTGGAATTCAATATCACCAGTTGTCAAGTAAATTGCTTAGGAATTCTTCAGAGAATCTACAGACTACACCTGCCAACTGGTACGAGTTCGTGTGTCGCTCAATGTTGCCTGCCTTGCCACTGGGTTAGCACGTTTGAAGTAGCACGGAAGTTATTCTGTATATCGCGCACCCTGGGTTTGGTCGGGTAGGGCCCCCCTTGGCCGCCTAACCCAAAAAAGCCCACTCTGATTATATAAGCCAGGTGGCCCATTCTGCCCTCGTCACCACCGCCAGCCTGGCCAGCCGAGCTATGCACGTTATCAAGATCTAACTGCCAATAACAGCAACAAGCCCATATCCAACCGAGCACGACAACTCATCCTTTTTATTGTGGCAGTTGGCACCGGGGAAAATATTTGTTGATTATCTTACTGCCTGCCTACTTATTGGAGCCTCCTTTGCCTGAAAAGCAAGCTGTTGCCATGGCCGAACGCAATGTCTCTCAGATTCTCGGGCAGCTCAAGCATTCTCCGTCCATGAGCTATCCTGAAGCAAATGCGCTTCTTTCCAAGGCCAAACTCGCCCTTCTGAGTCTAAATGCCCTCACCCCCAGCCAGTCGACGTCGCCTCAACTTCTGGCCCTCGCTCGCGAGACCTTTGAACAAGGCGCCCTCTTCGCCATCAGAGCACGCAACCCAGAAGCCTTCACGCGTTATGTGCAACAACTTCAGCCTTTCTATGAGCTCCCCTCAGCGACTCTCCCACCGAACTTACCCGAACGAAATAAAGTGACTGGATTGAGCCTCCTTCTTCTCTTAACGCAAGGTCGCTATGCCGAATTTCACTCGGAGCTTGAAGGCCTTGCCAATCGCGATGGGGGTGGCAGTTCCGGAGATGTGGAAGGCGACCGGTACCTCGGATACCCTATCCGACTGGAAAGATGGCTGATGGAGGGCAGCTATGACCGAGTATGGAAGGCAATGAAGAGCAGTGAAGTGCCATGCGACGAATACGGCGTCTTCTCAGAGGTGAGTGCTCATACGCAATATCTTGCCGATCCGTATGGTGTGATTGTGTCTAACAAAAGGGATCAACAGATTTTGAAGAACCAGATCAGGTCTGAAATCGCAAGCAGCAGTGAGCGCGCGTATCCAAGTCTGCCGATTAGCTCCACCAAATCTCTACTATTCCTGGACTCCGAGGGTGATGTGATTCAATTTGCCAAGTACAGAGGCTGGGTGGTCAGAGATGGGCACATATACTTCCCAGATGCAGCAGACTCCAGTGAGGACAGCGGCCAGAGCAAGGACATCAGCCAGGTGATCATAGAAAACACGCTAGGATATGCTCGGGAATTAGAGACTATTGTGTAAATACTAGATGGAAGAACGAGTTCTCCTTTAGACTTTTGTAGGAATAGCGCAGGATGAAGATGAAGGGTATTTTATCCTGAAATTTGCCACGCGTTTAGGCAAAACTTGGATACCAGTCAGGCTGAGGAGTTCTTTCTCCAGCAGCAGCAGCTATTTGGCGATTCTCCAATAAACCCAGAGCTGGGCTGGCCGAGGCCAGCAGTATAGAAATGTGAGGCCTTATGCCAAACCCCCTTGCTAATTAATTTCTATCTGTGACAGGTAGCATCATCATCGGGCTTGTCACCGCATCAATTATGTGTTGCTAATGAGCATAAAGTAGAAATACATTTTGCTCTTCCTTGCCCATACCCCTGAGTTTTTAAGGTACTGGTTGATGAATGCTTCTTGCCTCCAAGCTTTTGGGAGCCCCGAGTTGACACAACGGTATTGCGCTCGATGAGTTGGACCTCCCTTGACATAACAACTTCCAGTTTCACCTTGAGCTAGTATCGGAATTTCATGCTTTACCTGTAAATTTGCTAATAGCAGCTAGTCTTTTCATTCTCGCAGCGAATTTTCTTTCTTTCTTGGTACTGCACTCGCTAGGTTCGCAATTCCTTGCTGCAATCTCCAATTTTGATGCCTTTTGAAGCCGCAATCTTCTAGATTTTTCAAGATTTCAAAATGGATCCCGTGTATGGACAATCAGTATTTTATTTTCCTATGAAGTATAGCTTGATTTGGCTTCTAGACCACCCCTATTTCTCTGCTGAAGACACCCTTTAGTCTTCGATCCCACACTGTTGCTTCGCATTGAAGTAATAGGCCTCGTCCTTTTCGCTACTACGTATACGAAACATCATTTTGTCTTGGGAGAAATGTCCCCCAACATCATTACTCATCTATGCAAATAGTTTCAACCCACTGCCATGTTTACCAACCTCGCAAATCTCACACACCCGGCAGACAGTTCCCTTGTATTTCGAGTGATATTTGGAGCCATCGAACGCGCACTCTTCGTACGACGTGCCGCTGTAAATTGGTGTAAGACTGGCAGCACAAACCTCGAATTCAGCAAATTGATCAAACTCAATGTCAATGGCGTCGTTCGGGTTTCTCTCGCATTGGGCTTTGGTTCTTCGGGCCTAGCAGAGTCGCATTCGTTAGTAAGACAAATACTAGGTAGGCATTGTGCTGTGATATCAACTTACATTTTCTACAATCTTTGTAGAGCCTCCGTTGGCAATAATTCGGTTGGCAAAGCTCAGGGCGGAATTGTAGTTCTTGCTTTTGACAGCTAGTTGCATGGCGCTGAGGAGTGCTAACTGCCGATGAGGTACCTCAATCTTAGGAATGGTGAAATACGCGGACAACTCTAGGCTCCTCTTTAGCTTCGCTGGATCCTGAGCCACAACATCTGCCGCTCCTAGACTCCGCCTGGCGAGCTCAATGTCCATGGCCACCGCATATTCACTCGCAGAGGTGATAAGCTTCTTCGCCTCAGCCACCTCAGCTTCGCTTGATACGGCATTTACTAGAATGGCATGCAAAATGCCTTTGAATACCTTGATGCCATCTTCCAGCTTATTTGCCTTCATTGAATCATAACCTCTCTGAAGATCGTTGGTAGCGAGGTGCTCTAGATCTCGCGGAATAATGGGAAGAACTTGGCGAGGATCAGTTTCGTCGACCGTTCGTCGCACATAGTTGACCAAGGCTGGCAGGCCAGACGATGCAGGAAGGAAGCTTCTGGAAGCTTGATACACCTCCAAGAATCTGGACTTTAATGGTGCAAAGTGTACTGCTCCGACTTGCCTATTTAAAAGTTGCATGGCAGATTCAAAAGATCCTCCTGCTGCATGATCGACTGCAAGTGGAGAGTTTCGTGCCCACATGTCTGCCTCGCTACTACCTGCACCGCCAGCTTCGGTACTGTCCACGTTTACAAAGTCACTGTCGACCTCAGGGACATCGTCGTCGCCCATATCCCAGCCTGCGACATCTTCATCATCTTCCTCAGCCAGGCCGCCATTTCTTTTGAGTGCTGGGGCGCCATCACCCTCTTCATCAAGGACAAGTCGATCAGCTGTGGCTGGTTCATCCTCCAGAGAGAGACCCTCAACTTGACCCAGTAATGCCTTTTCAAAGAAGGACTGAGAGCTTGCTTTTGTAGGCCAGTTCGCCTTGAAGGTTGGCACACGAGGCTTAGGGGTACTCAAGGGTTCACCCAATTTTGGCATGGTCAGTTGGTCTTCCGTAGCCCCAGTAGCTTCCAAAATGGCCTGACATTCATCCTCCAGCCCGTTTGACTTCGCAGTCATATAAGCAAGAGGATCTGCGAACTGTTAGCATCGCGGTTTTCCCTAAGGTATAACATGTTTTCACTTACAGAGGTCAATTTCCTTGAACATCTGAATCCGATCTTCAACATCACCCAAATACAGAGCGTTGTGGAATCGAGAAGTGAAATCTCCCCGATGTTCCGCGATTTTTGCCATCCTTGCCAACTTGGAGTGATCACCCGTAGCCAGGTACAAAAAGGACAATTTGTCAAACTGCTTCAGCTTCTGGTAGCACATTTCGACAATCTGATGATTTCCATGTGCAAGAGCCTCAGCACTTAATCGTGCCCAGAATTTCGGTTTATCTAATTCCTTCGCCATCTCAACAGCCACGTCCAGATTGCCGCATTCAATTGCTAAATCAAATCTAGTCGTTGGGTCCTGCACAAATTGCAATGCAATTTCAGGATAACCTTTCTTTTGTAGATATGAAATAATAGACTGTCCCACTAAGCTGGACGTACGGATGATGTGCAGCATTTCTTCATAATTCCGCTTGATTAACGCAAGTTTAAATCGGTACTCGGTCGGGTCAATCTGTAAGATTCGTGGTTTCGCGGCTCGGTCCAAGCAGTAGACATTGCGACCCTTGACTCGAACCAGGTATACAGTTTGATCTAAAGTCCGGACAATGCCATTATCCCCATTGAGCAGCGTATACTTCACATGGTTCAATGTTGAGTATAAAAGCACCCCAGCATCATCCCATGTTGCGCTTTTGATCCGAATAGTTTCGTGTAGTGTACTAACTTGCTCAAGAGCTTTCGTGACAATCGTAACGTTGTGTTTGCTGAGAAGCGCAGCGTAAAGTCCGTCATTAGACCATACGACGTATTTCACGCCATTAACGGAAAGCTCAGCCGTGCTCTTCTTTTGCTGAATGTCATACAGATGTACGGCTGTTGGTGTTATAATGAGCAGATGGCCAGTCCCACCAAAATAGATATCACTGGTTCCGACAGGGGGCTTGAAGGAACGGGTGGCATTATTTGACAAATCCTTTATGTCAATGGTCTGGTTTGAAACATCCAGAACTGCAAAGCGATTTCTCGCAACGAAAATTGCAGAGTTGCCCAATCCTCGTTTTGCCTCGGTCGGCTCAATAACACCTGACCCATCCTTGGGGAGGCTGACTAGTTCATAAGAACCACCTTCCGCGGGAGAGGTAACAAGGACAGACCTCTCCGCAGGGTTGTAAGACAAGGTGCGAGGAGTTATCCATGGACTGCCAAGCTTCTTCAGTGATAGAAGAGTTGGACTTTCGACATTCTTCTGAAAGTCGTAGGATTTGATATGTTTCTCCTTGGTGATGTAAAAGAGCATATTCTGGTGAGTCGCGGAAGCAGGCCGTTCGCGCTCCAGTTTGAAAACCATCACGCCATTATCATGGCCTGCAGCAAAAAGGTTGATTTCGGGGTGTGCTGCAATGACCCAAAATCGGTCATTTTCCCGCTTGAAAGATTGGACGGCAGTTCGTTTGTTCAAATCCCAGACTCGAATTGTTTTGTCCTCACCAGCTGAAAGAATCAAGTCCTGGTGGGGGTGGAACAAACAGCCAGAGGCGTTGTGGAAATGGCCTCTGCATGTGTCGACCTCCCATGCCTTGGTTTCGCTCATGCGCCAGAGCTTAACCAACCTGTCGTCACCAGCAGAGACGATTAGTGGCATTGTGGGATGAAATGCGACCCAGTTGACTCCACGGTCGTGACCTTCGAGTACAAATTTAACGACAGCATCGGTATTGCCGAACATGTCTGCCTGGTTCTGATTGGCACGCGCCATCTGATCTTCGAAGCTCATGGACGTAGGAGCAGAGTGCTTCTTCCGAAGGCCAGAAATATCCCAAACACGAACAGACTGGTCGAGGGATGCGGAGACAACAAGGTCTTCTTTCGGATGAAATTGAGCGCACATGGTATAGTGATTGTGCCCAGTCATAGTACAGATTAAAGAGCGGTTCTGCCAGTTCCAGATACGAATAGTCTGGTCGTCTGAAGACGATAGAATCCATGGCAATTCATGGTGAAAAAAGACAGTGCGAACGTAATCAAGATGGCCGTTCAAGGTGAACAGGCAACGTCGTGTCTGGTAGGACCAAACTTTGATCTTATAGTCATCGCCACCAGACACAAAGAGGGGTTGTGTCTTGTGGAAGTCCACTCCTCGAACGGGTCCATCATGTTCTTCGAATCGGTCGATAAGCGTGCCCATTCGGTAATCCCAGAGCTGGATGGTAGAGGAATGAAGTGCAACGAGGATCCATGGTCTGCCAAGCGGGTTAGCCCCAGAGATTGTTTCCCGGGAAGCCTAACTAGAATACCTTTTAGGGTGAAACGCAATGCCTTTGGCCCTTGAAGACTTCGACTCAAACTGCCTCGTTGTAAGCGCGTTGAACAGGTTCCGATAGCCTTTGCAAGAAATACCTTGGTCAACATGCCAGGGGAGGACTGCATTTTGGCGGGGATAGGAAGCCGCAGCTTCGTGCCTTTAGGGAGAGTGACGCAGACGACAATGCTCCAAGATATTGATGAGAATGAGGATATATCAGCTATTCCCTGCTGCAATTAATTTGGTATGGTGACCGACGGGTCAGCATTAACATTCGTGTAGGCAGGGGATGTTGGACACTTCGAATACGGTGTGGTGTTGGCCTTACTCCTGGTAGGCAATTGAGCATCGTGTCCAACTCCAATTGTGGGCAGGAGTACTACTCTAAGCCGCACTAACATTCTTCCGCCTCCCTGGGCAGTTCACCCCACTACTCAGTTCCATCGTCCCTTACGGAGAAGGTCACCACGCTAGTCTACATTGGGAGAGCTCACGGTCAAAGGTGCGACTGTGTTCACAAGTGTTGTGGAAGCTAGTCGAGCACACAGTGAATGCTGAGCGTCGCTTTTAATTCAAGGATTATATGGAATTTTGTCCGCAACCCCTCCGATAATTGAACGATCAATTGAATCCGTCTTTATCGCGAAAAGTTGCAAATTACTGATTTCGAGGCGGTACAGGCCTTCCGCGGCCTCAGTTCCGCGTAACGACAAGGAACAAAGCACCTGCAAAGCCAACTATTTACACCTCGTCCTATGCCAATTGTGGTGAATTTCTTGCGGTTCTTATCTCATTATGCGTCTACCAAATGTAATATGGCTTCTGGCTGGCCCACTGACATTGATACCGCCGGTGTCGGCGGCGTCTTCTGTTAAAGTAGGCATGAATGCAGCCTTTGATGCCGCGCCATATTTATTGGAGCTTGTGTATGGTGCTCTCATCTCCCGCTATCGTGTATTTGCCGACTAACAAATGGAAGGGAGACTGCGGCAGGAGAAAATTCGACTGCATACTTCCCCCTGCTAGATCGAATCGCAAGCGGGTATTTCCTGACAGTTTCATCGGAATCTGAACTGTATAGTCGATTTCTCAACATCATTCACGAAGATGGACATATAACCAGACCCGATGCTCTATCTACATTCAACTTGGCGCTGTCTCTACGATCCGCGGCCCCCAGGATCGAAGCACACTACCAACATTATTCTACAGCTATGGAACCCCTTAAGGAATTGCGGGATTGCGATATTTGGGTTTTACTCGACGGCAGGCAATACTGTACACCTGATTTCGATGCCGAAGCGAAGAACGAGCCGGTTTCCGCGTATGTAGACTTGCTACGTTATGTAGATTAGTTTGCTAATTGCTTTTGCAGGGTCGTCAAACCGCTAGCTTTCGATCGAACCATGGGTATCGGAAGGGATGCTATCCTGTATGCCGATCCTACCTCAGATAGATTTGCAGATTATCACCAGTCACTGTTAAAGGCAGCACGTACCATGAAGTTACGTTATCGGCTTCGATATCGCCGCAGCAAGTCTCATATTAGCCGGCCTTTACCAGTCAGCGGCTATGGAGTGGAACTCGCATTAAAGAAGACAGATTACATAGTGATGGATGACAGACATTCCAGCCAAAGCACGGAGGAAAGCCCCAAGGAGCCGGTCGAAGTTCTTGATGGAACAGACGACGTGGCCGACTTGAACCCCCTTTCCACTTCTCAGCTTTCTTCCATTGGAATGAAAGCTGCGTCGTTTATCAAGGACAGCGATCACCCGTTCGACACCCTGGTAAAACTCACACAAGACTTCCCAAAATTCGCATCGTCGATAGCCTCTCGGAATGTTTCAATTACGTTTGCTGCTGAAATCAAGCAGAATCAAGCAAAGAAGATGCGGGGTGGTATCAATTTTCTATGGATGAACGGAGCACAGCTCACTGACCGAGAAATCCAGCCCTTTGCGCTTGTAAACATGTTACGAAGCGAAAGGGGGGTTGTTGATGGGATTCGAGACTTGGGGTTCGACGGAGAACAGGCGGTTGCGCTTCTGAGTCACAAAGCAGTGTCGGCTGCTAAGGAAGACGACAAACCTTTTCGTTATGATTGGACGGATAGGTTGGAGGCGGGACGTGTAATTTTATGGCTCAATGACTTGGAAAAGGATGACAGATATGCTTCATACCCGAAATCTTTGTCCTCAGTAAGACACTCCGTAGCTCCCTTTCTGGGCTCCTTTGATACTGACTATGAAGTACAGCTGCTTCAAGGCACCTTCCCTGGCCAAATCCCACCAATTGGTCGAAACATATTTAACTTGGTCATTCCCGCCGACTTGTCCAACACCGAGGATCTAGCATTCATCTCCGAGGTAGAATCTATCAGGGAACGAGGTATTCCGATTCGATTCGGACTGGTGCCGCTGCAGCTGTCCGATGAAGCCAAGACTCGGGCAAAGATCGCATATTTTCTTACAGAAAACTACGGTATCGAATCTACGATATCATACCTTTCACAGCTGGCTAAGGCCCACCAGAAAACTGCTGATTCCAAGACTCTACTCTCAACGATTACCGAGAACCATACACTTTTACCTGGAGGCGAGGACATGTCGTTGTCTATGATATTGCAAGCAAGCGACTTTACTGAGAGGCTCGTAAAAGCTGAAAAATGGGTCAAAAGATTGAAGGCCGACACAGTCGTTCGTCCATTGTTTGTTAATGGGGTTTTAGTGCCTCGTGACCAAAGCTGGATGCAATCCCTTAGTATGACAGTCTCGCAAGACCTCCAAACTGTACAAAGGGGAATATACCACGGTGTCTTTGATGATGATACCTGGACTGTTGGAGTGTTTCTCGAGGGGGCTGCCTCACGACGCAACCTTTATATTTCGGAAACCAATGAGAAAACCTTGCGAGTGTTAAATATTGCCAAAGTTTACCGCGAGAATGCGGACTTATTTAACGCAGTTCCGGTTTTCGATTTTTATGCTGAATCAACACAAGAGAACTGGGCAGTTGTTACCGTACTTGCGGATATGTCTTCGAGAGCCGGTCTTGATTTAATTTTGTCAGCCCTGGAGTTTAGACGCAATAACCCAGCGATTCGTCTGGATTTCGTCGACACGCAAGACAACACCAAGATCTCTTCTCAGGTCAATAAGGCTTTGAAGGCGAATGAAGCTAAGTTGAAGGACATCGAAACCATACAAGACCTGGAACAACTCCTTAGTGAGGCTTCGAGTTATGATGCCAGCGATGACTTTGCGGTATTTGTAGCAAGATTCCTTGCTGACACTAAGATGCCGACCAGCTCACAAGTCGTGATTATGAACGGACGAGTGATAGGGCCGATAGAACCAGAAGCGTCTTTCGATGCCGAGGATTTCCAGCAGGTACTGTCATATGAGCAGACGCGTCGCATTCTCCCCGTTTATGCTGCGGTTGCAGACCTGGGCTTGAACGAAAAGGTTTCAGATTGTATGGCGGCTGCCAAACTCAGCTCCATTATTGCGCTGTCAACACTTTCTGATTTGCCTGAAGGAATCTTTGAATCTTCTTCAGCAACCCGTTCTTCCATATATACTTCTTGGAATTCGAGCCACACAGTAATAGAATCGGGCGACCCGAAGAAATCCAACATACATATTGTGGGATTATTGGATCCTGTCAGCGAAAAAAGCCAGAAATGGGCCCATGTTCTGAGATTGCTTGCGGAGCTAGATGGTGTTTACGTCAAACTCTTCCTAAATCCCAAAGTACAGGTTGAAGAACTTCCTGTGAAACGATTTTACCGTTATGCCGTCGAACCAACACCGAAATTCGACGAGAACGGCAGTGTCAAAGCCCTGGCAGCAAGTTTTTCCGGACTTCCATTGAACGCGTTGATGACTGTGGGCATGGACGTTCCGCCAGCCTGGTTAGTCGCACCAAAGTTGTCCATACACGACCTCGATAACATTCAACTAAGCGCTGCAAATTCGGATGTTGAAGCGACCTACGAACTTCAACACATTCTGATTGAAGGGCATTCTCGCGATGATGAGGGATCAGCCCCGCGAGGTGCTCAGCTAGTCCTGGCAACGGAAAGCCAGCCGCTTCTGACAGATACCATTGTCATGGCAAACCTGGGCTTTTTCCAATTCAAGGCCAATCCTGGCGTATATAATATCCAGCTAAAAGAGGGTCGAAGTGCCGAGATCTTTACCATTGAAAGCATTGGTGCTCAGGGATGGGAAGCAGCGCCTGATGAAGAAGGCAGCGAACTTGCGCTGATGGACTTTCAAGGCACTACATTATACCCGCGGCTCAAACGCCGTCCCGGCATGGAAAATCAAGACGTTTTAGAGGACACCAGCAATCCATCTCAGGGCAACATAGTTTCTAAAGGCCTAAAATTTGCAGAAGGGCTGCTTAGTGGCGGCAAAGGAAAATCCACTTCGGATGTACAGCATGCTGAGATAAACATATTTTCCGTTGCGAGTGGGCATCTGTATGAGCGGATGCTCAATATCATGATGGTTTCTGTCATGCGCAATACGAAACACAGCGTCAAATTTTGGTTCATAGAACAATTTCTCTCACCATCGTTCAAAGAATTCATACCACACCTGGCAAAGGAATACGGTTTTAAATATGAGATGATCACATACAAGTGGCCACACTGGCTTCGGCAGCAAAAGGAGAAACAAAGGGAGATTTGGGGATATAAAATCCTTTTTTTGGACGTCCTCTTTCCGTTATCGCTGGACAAGGTCATATTTGTGGACGCTGATCAAGTTGTTCGCACCGACATGATGGACCTTGTTGACTTGGATCTAAATGGTGCGCCGTATGGCTTTACACCGATGTGTGATTCTCGAACGGAGATGGAGGGGTTCCGATTCTGGAAACAAGGCTACTGGTCGAACTATCTTCGTGGAAGGCCATATCATATTTCGGCTCTTTATGTCGTGGATTTACGTCGTTTCCGCGAGCTGGCCGCCGGTGACCGACTCAGACAACAATACCATGCTCTCTCCGCGGATCCGGCTAGTCTGTCAAACTTAGACCAAGACTTGCCTAACCATATGCAATTTCAAATCCCAATCCATAGCTTACCGCAAGAGTGGCTTTGGTGCGAGACGTGGTGCAGTGATGAAAGCCTCGCAAAGGCTCGGACCATTGATCTATGCAATAACCCTCAAACCAAGGAACCGAAACTTGACAGGGCGAGAAGACAGGTCCCGGAATGGACCACATATGACCAAGAGATTGCTGCTCTTGACTTGAAGCGTAAACAACGCCTCCAGTCGGACGCAGCGGAAACGGATAGAACAACATCAGAAGATGGAAAAGTGGAGGACGGTCGCTCAAAGGATGAACTGTAGAGACGATGGAGTTTGGTTATCCCTCACAATCATGGGTTTTGCAAGTTTATGCTTCGATAGATGGAGAGGTCACATTTTCAACATGTGGTTTGAGCTTCAAATTTGACACACAACAAACGACCTGGACCAGGTGAAGTCTAGATATTACATATGTACGGCGTAGCGTTCACGACTGAGGACTTCCATTTCCTATAGAAGGTCAGTGACATGGTAAATATGCAGCAGTGCTTGCGGCTTGTTGATAAGTGCTGTACCGTATTGCTTTCTTCTGTGAACAATAAAGAATGTCTAACGGTTCAACGTTGTTGTCCATGGTGCATGCATCTTACATATGGAGTAGTTGAATCGCCTTCATCGTACCTCGGTAGCCGGCTGCCGAGTAAGGATGGGGTCGTCTGACGTTTATTCAACCGACAACGTATTGTTACCTCATTTAGTTAACTACCCAGCCAGGAAGGTACGTTGTTCCGTGGCTGGGCGGGAAGACAGCATTTTCAACGCGAAGTATCATTCTGCACTTACATGCATACATATTGATCATTAAGTAGCTTTCCGCACTGTACGCCGTGTTGTGCCGCATTTCTTCAAAAAACATCTCCCCACTTCACACCCGGCACAGCATCCCCACCTCCAACATCTCACATACAAAGACGATCTTTGACAAAATCCAGCTTACAATGTCCTGCATCTTTTGCCGCATCATCAAGGGTAAGGAATGGCGGTGGATGGCCACGGGCAAGCATGTGCCAAGTTGACTGCCGTGGGGTGTTTCATCGCGAGCTCAATTTGCTGACATGGTCACGCACTCGGGTCATTTCTAGGCGAGATTCCTTGCATGAAGCTCTTTGAGAGCGAAAAGACGCTGGCTTTCCTCGACGTCGGGCCACTCAGCAAAGGTCATGCTGTACGTATAAGGACTTTCCCCAAGCAGCAATGGCTCTGGCAATATGCCGGCGCCGCCATTTTTCTCCTGGAGCTAACAGGTTCTTTTGCTTGTATCCGCTAGCTGGTCATACCCAAGTATCATGGTGCAAAGCTGGCCGACATTCCCGATGACCAGCTCACAGAAATTCTGGTAGGCCGGCCAAACCTTGCATGTAGTGTGACGCCACGTCTTCAACTGACACGCTTGTCCCAGCCCACCCTGAAAAAGCTGGTTTCCGCAACTGGCGCCGTTGACTATAACATACTCCAAAACAACGGTACCATAGCTCACCAACAGGTTCATCATGTGAGTCTGACCATCCTAGTCCTCTACCGTGTCCGGATTGTGGGAAGCTAACCAAATACCCTTGTTTCTTAATTCTCTATAGGTTCATTTTCACATGGTTAGTATCTTCAGCCGCCGTACCGTTCCGATGTACCTGCCCTAACCTCTTCACTAGATTCCAAAGCCCAACGACGCAGAAGGCCTCGGAATTAGTTGGCCTTCCACACCAGGTGATATGGACAAGCTCAAGGCCCTCTGCGAGGACATCAAGTCCAAAATGTAGATTATTGGCCAATCGAGGGCGCGTCGTTTGAGTACAGCAGCGCTAGTGAAAAGAGGTTCCGCCGTGCGCTTGTGCAATAATTTCATTGATAAATGTCGTTCCGAATTTTATTATCATCTACTCTATAAACTATAACCCAAAGTGATGTCTTTCAGAGAACGGGAGGGGGAGCTTGCCATGTCAGCTGCCACTCCAACAATACAACCGACTGCGCCCTTTATTAGGTCCAGCTTGCTTCCAGCGGGTGCCGAAACAAAACCATCGAGATCATTCATTGCCTTTAATCGACCGCGTTCGCTGCAGTCTCTTTGCCAGATTTGATCTCGTTGGAGGGAGCAGACTTGGAGTCAGTGTTTCGGTACCAGTTTACGTCGCCATCAGAACGGATCACTCCCTGACGATCATACAGAGACCGGGCTCTTACATACGGGTCGAGCTGCCAGTAACCATCCCTGAGCTTTGCAGCAATATCATCTCGCTCAGCTTTGATGCCTTCAGCTTCTTCGCCGCTAGCGTGTTTCGTCCAACGTCGAGTAGCAGCCTCGTACTGAGCATACAACTTCTCCCTCTCCTTAAGCAGTCGATCTCTGGTTGTAGTATCTTTCATCAAATCATTTTCACCCTCAGTGGGCTCCTCATATGCATACGTCCAATCCTCATCGCCTTCTAGGTCCTTAATAAGCTGGCCTGGATGAATGAATTCCTCCAGCCCAGTTCTGTAGTTGGTAAAGTGAACCTTGGCAGCGACAACGGGATCGAGCCAGCCACGGATAACCCTCCAGATGCCTGTCCAATATAAGCCTCTGCTCAACCAATAAATACTGGGTCAAAAATTAACAGACCTTGGAACAACCACGGGGCATTGTGGACGAGAACGACCCCTAAAGATTCGGGATAGTTTGCTTCAAAACACTGAATCATGAACTTGACGGGGTGGTAGTCCATGTTGGCCAGAGTGAATCCCGTCATATCGAATATGATGTTCTGGTTTTGTTATTAGTCGGTTGAGTAATGAGCTAGAATAAGGTTGCAACTTGCCGCTGTATCGACAGGAGGTTTCAGTGCCAGACGAGCAGTCTCAATAATAAATACCGTGTACCTTTCCAAGCTCTCGGGAGATTGATCACCGGCTTTGTGGAGGCACACTCTGACGACACAAATCGGACGACCCTCTTTATCGGTGCCATGTAGGAAGCTTTTGCCCATCCGGCTTTGTTTTAGAAAGTCCTGGCCCAGCTTTTTTGCCTTCTCATCTCCATTTTTCTCATCAGCGGCGGCACCGGCTTCCCCATTCTTCATGATATCCTGGTCGACCTTCATCTTGGTGTGCCTCCAGTTCATAGCCGATATCAGCATGATGAGGGCTTTTTCCACATCCCACTTGCGGGCGCGCAGAAAGCGTAGGAGCAACGCGTCGGGATGATCATGCTTCATCATTGCCCACATTGTTTCTCTTATCTCCTCCGGCTTCTGGTTTGCCAAGATTTCCTGATACTGTTTGGTCAAACCATATTTGTCGTCATCTGCTGAATCAGTAGCATTGTTACCATTGGAGGACGCGTGAGCCGACTGGGGAGCACTTCTAAAGAAACTGAAGCCGCGCTTTTTCTTGGTGGTTTCGGCATCCGCGCCTGGTTTTTCATCTTTCTTCGGCGCCGGGCTGGCATCGCTGCTGTCTGAAACGCCGCATACTTTGAACACGGCTTCCCAGAGTTGACGGAGCTTGTCTTCCTGTTCTGCTGTCAAATTCCCCAGGTGTCCAGGAGCAATCTCGTGAGGCATATCGTCGAGAGGGAGATGGCCAGCGCTGGGTTGTATATCTAAGCTGGTAGCTTCTCCAGTGACTAGCAAATATGCTATCGCAAAAGCAAGGGCTGCCGCGGCTGCTGATATAACAGTTGGGTGATAGAGGCTGCTTTGAAGAGCGATGGCGGTGGGAAAGGGTCCACGAGCTGAACGAGCGGCGCTGGGCAAGAGCACGCCGGCGAGACGATTACTTCTCAGCGTAGCAAGGTTGACGAGAGACAACCCCTGGCTTGTTCGGTGCCGAGTATTAATATACTGGGGAGAAGCGTTTGATAGAGGACGGCGTTGGGTAGCCGACGGTGTAGAGGATCGTGGTTTGATAAGCGAAAGAGCCTGTAGATTCTGTCTGCTCCGGTATATGACGCTCCTATGCAATGTATATAATAAGGGAAATATTTCCGTTGGTCGAGTGCCAGTTGTGCCGGGACGCGCGGGCGTACGCACCCTCATAGATCTTCTCTTTCCACAACAAGCTAAGGCGGTTATTTTCTGTGCCTAGGTATTTGGGGTGGTGGAGTGCTAGCGTCAGGAATGCGGCAATGGAGAGCCAGATGATCGTTAGTATACAAGGACCTTGGCAATGGCACTGGCAGACGAATTCCAAAACAAAACAGGTTATGCTGGAAGTCGGGAGACGGGCGTCAGCGGACTTGTTCGGCGGGATGTCCAGTATTTTCGGCCAGCTTGTCGGATACACGGCGACCCGTATCTGGTCGGACTAATTGTCCAGCAAGCCCTCCGTAACGATCCTCCCTGTGGAGAAATAACTGGAGACTGGAGCTGACAGCAGGAGATAGAGAGGCAAGAGTATCTGGCATTGGCGTACTTATGTAGGTAGGCAAGTAAATGACTTCGATGACACTTTGGAACTTGACTTTGATCTCGAATTTAGACTTTGTGCCTGCCACACGCCATTTTTGCCCTTTTCCCCTGAGCACTTCAACTTCCAAGGTTGGTAGTCATGTCCAGATCATAGACCAAGCGTGGGCTTTCTTTATTGACCAGGCACAACGCTCTCTCGGGAGTGGTAAAGAATAGGAATGCGCGAAAGAATAGAAGATTATTAGAATTGTTCCGTATTTTGCACTTGACTTATTCCGGTCCTCTGCGTCCGCCCTGCCAGTGGTCTGGTCTGGTCGCATTGCGATGCCTGCGGATATCACGGCCCCGCTGAAGAGTGTCTGGGGGTGTTGGACATCGCAAGACTGGCTGGCTGGGGACGTGCCACTCATCGCACGTGCCATGTTCTGCTTTAGACCTGGAGTCTCCTGTACAGGCGCGATTGGCGGTTCGCGTATCGCCGATGAATGAAAGTTTCTGGAACACGTTCCCGCCAGATTTACACCTCGTTGGAGCGCCTAATTGATCAAAACACGTCGCTCTAGTTAGGCATGGGCATGTCAGACGGCATCGACGAGGCAAATGGCTGCACTGCCATGAGCCGGAAACGTTCAAATTCCCGAGCGCGTAATTCTAGGCCAACAACACCGCTCCGACCGTCCTCACGATCCTCCTTTCGAGACTCTGCCCGCAATGTCCGTGGCGGTGGTGCGGAGTTTCCGCTGAATGCCTTTGAGCCTGCTTTCGCAGAACTTTCAGACGCTATGGCTGATCTTGAGGCCAACATGATGCATTTTCAACTTATGCACGAAAGTCTTGCTCGCTTCAGCGAGTCGTTTGCTAGTTTTCTCTATGGGCTCAACATGAATGCGTTTTGTGTCGACTTCCCAGAGGTATATTTCGATCCTGCAATATGGAACCTACTTTGCAAAAGTCTGCATGGTTTTCTAACTTGGTATTTATGAATCAGGGACCCATTGCTGAATCATTTGCACGAGACCGCCATGAAGAAACTTCGGCTGAGGGCACCACCCGCCTGGAGACTGATGTTGAAGCCACCTTTATGTACGTATGCCCGAACCACTTTTCTTACAACATTTTCTTGTTTTATGTTTATCGGTGCTGAGCTCCCTCATTCAGGACTACGGACACCTCTTTTGTCGATAACCCACCCACTACAACGAAAAAATATGCCAAGCCCGGAGCCGTCGAAACTCGTCAATCCCGTCTGCCTTTTGCACGTGGTACAAATACGAGAGGGAGGGCAAATACTCGAGATAGGGCTCGATCAAGTGGCCTCGCAAGAGGTCGCGGTCGCGGTCGAGGCATAAAATAGTTTGATGCACAATCATATGGGCCAGAGCCTAACCATGCCTAGCACCTCTTGTAAGGAGATTCACGTCCATATTCAAGAACAAACGACGGCAGGGATACACATAGGAAGGGCATTCTCGGCAGATAATCGATCTGAATGTCGTCGCCCGCTGCTTCATGTGGCCATTTCCATGTCTCCGGAGGCATCATGTTCAACGTTGTCATGCCGATTATCGATTTGCGACTCTGCATCGAGCCCTGGCATTCTTTGGGGTTCTGGACTGGGCTCTTCGCGCAGCTGTTTGACTCTATGGCAGGACACTTAGTTCATCGGGTAACGCATGTGAAACAAGGTATGCAGGTCACGTACCTGCGCTTGTGCGGTTTGCCGCGCCTGTGAGAATTCAGAGTACTCTCTCGGTCAAACCACTTGGCGCATTCAATACAATAGTGCCTGCCGAGACCTGGAAGGTCCTCAGCCGCTTTGGTATCTTTGAATTGCGCCAGATGTCTTGATGATAACAAATCTGCCTTGATTTGATCTACATCTCTTCATTGCTGTTAGCCGGAACCCCAACCGTGGGCCACATCGCCAGAGTATCGTACCTGGTTTTCCTCCTCGTCTTTGTGATTGTGCGTTTGTTTCCGACGCCCATTGTATATAGTATGCGATTCGAGACTAGAACGTGGCGCAGATATCGTTTAACTGATAGGTGAAGTACAGTGGAATTTGCCCCCTTATGTGTCTATCAATAATGCAGTTGCCAGTATATGCAGTACGCAATCCAAACCTAGCATTCATAGGTTGGAAATGAACTGGTTGAAAGAGATGCAGTTCAAGGCAGAGGTGGATTGATCAAATTTGTGATGAGAGGCAGACCAGTGGGTGCGCTCGGGTATTCTTCGGAAGCTCGCTAGTTAGTGTGCTAGTCCGCTGTCGAACCAAGCCAAGAACTTGACCTCATGAATCCTAGGTTTCAAGACTCAAGAGTGGATGGCAAGAGATGGACCGAATTGACAATGCCTTTAGTAAAAACTGCACAACCTTTCTTTGATTTGCATGTGTGCATGTACGTTGTAAACTATCAAAAGTCGATGGCCTTGGGTTCATGCTGAGGCCACACGGCAAAGGAAATGCATGAGCTGAGGCAGGATATATCAAGCAATAGCAAAGTTATCTTTTGAGTATAGGATATCGAAATTCGTGATGAGCTGCATACCCGTGGGTATGTATGCCGTTGGAAAACACGTCCTTCCTGTCGCAACTCGAGCAACTCGGCGTAGTAAGGGGTGGGAAGTCAACATGTATGTTACCAGACGACGGTGCCTAGATATCCCGCTGTGTTTATTATAGTGCGGTATTAGCCCATAATGCTTTTCGATGGTCAAATTTGTCATGTCACAGGCTGCATGTAGTACCAAGAATGCTACAGCGCAAAATGTTGATTGAGTCGGGAGCAACAGTGTGCGGTGCCGCATGTACTGCATACGGAATACATGAAGTCCATTAGAGGCCGACCTCGGTAGGTACACTTGGTAGACATTCATATGCTCGGCAAGGTACTTGAGTACGTATTTACATCTAAGTACTTAGGTAATACATGTATTAAGTGACTCGTCCGCTTAGTTGCTGACGGGTATATATTGTGTGTGTGCGTGTGTGTGTGTTCTGCGAGTGGCTGAAACGCATGCGCCGATTTCTGGGAAAAGTCAATGAAATACGGAGTACTTGACCCGTTGGCGACTTGGTCAGTGGACGAGCCACTCTTGCCGCTTCTCAGTTGCCAACGGGTACAGCAAATTTGGCATTTTGTTGTCATATTAATCGGTTTTCTCCCAGAACGGGACATCGGTCCCCGAGGCCAAAGCTCCGAGTAGCTCGCAAAAACGAGTGTCCTCGTGCGGTGACCGAAGGATCCAGCCAATGCCGAGGTCTGGAACATATGGTCACGATTTGCCAACGACTCATGAATGGACAACAGCGGCGGTCTGCCGATTGAGCAATTGAGCCATGGGGCCAAGTTTAGTGGGTAATGCCGCGCCAGACCTGCCGCTGCGAGAACACATAGCAGCCGCAATGCCACTAGCGGCTTAAAAGAGTAGCCGACCGGAGCCGAGTTGCGTGCTCGGAACAAGGGACTTCGGAAGCGCATCTGACGAGGAGACCAGCTCCCTGGCACTTCCATCCCCAAGGCGAGGACATGCAAGCTCCATTGGCGATGATATACGTATTACGCAGTAGTACCTTGTATGCAGGGGATTGTTGGTCAACTGCCTCGAGCTCTACCGGGCGTGGTATGCTTTGCACGGCCACGGCAAGTAATTGCCATCAATACACAAAGCTATGCCTTGCCATCCATAAGAGGTCAATAATCGTGGCTGATACCAGGCATGCACGGAGCTGGATGCTCCAGCAATTGACATGTGCTGGCCGACTGCCCCCCAGCCCAACCCCAGGCTGCCTGGTCAGCAACAGCGATGCCCAGAAGCCAAACGGCTCAGTTGTGTTTGCAATTTTTCAATTTTTTGCCCTGGCCCTGTTTTCCATGCCCTCTCGTTCGCTGGGTGGCGCGGGGCCTCGGGGCAGTGGAGGTCTCAGCACCGCATGACGGAACGCAGACGTCGTGGATTATTATCTCGACGCTTGTGACTGGCTGCAGCACCAGGTGCCCCCCGTAGCAACACCACGTTCCCAACCCGGCCTGGCCGCGCAGTGGAATCCGCAAGCCAACGCTTCTATGCTTGTGGCTTTATCTTCTCTCCCATGCAACCTTCACCTTCAACCCTGCGGCTCCACATCACGCCGCCTGTGCTCGGTAACATCTGGCTCTAGCCTGGTTTCTGTTCCCGGCCAAAAACACCTCTCTCCACCTTCGTGGCCAACCTTCTCCCTTACTTCTCTTTTTTCTTAAACCACCTCCACGTCCTTTGCTTCTCCTCCACGTACTGGCCTCCGAGTTTGACTGACCTTGGAGAGCGGCCAAGTCGCTTTCACCCAGCTCAGACCCTCTCCCCTCTGCCTCAATTGGCCCTTACCTTCAACATGCTTGCCTCCAGACAGGTTCTGGGCAACTTGGCCCGGGGCCGCGTCCTGAATGGCGCTTCTACCAGTCTTCGTCGCATGGCGACGGTCTCCGATTCTTCGCTTGACAAGAAGGTATGAAAGACAGCTCCCCTGGATGGCTTGTCTTGCGACTAACGCTTGCAACCTGTGTGTATATAGGTTCGCCAAAACATCTGGGAAGACAACAACTTCATTAACTATAAGAAAATGTCCGAAAACCTGGCTGTTGTCCGCAGCCGCTTGAACCGACCGCTCACATATGCTGAGAAGATCTTGTACTCTCACTTAGACGACCCTCATGGTCAAGACATTGAGCGTGGCAAGTCCTACCTGAAGCTGCGACCAGATCGTGTTGCCTGCCAGGATGCTACCGCACAGATGGCTATTTTGCAATTCATGTCCGCTGGCATGGACCAGGTTGCGAACCCAACCACTGTTCACTGCGATCATTTGATTGAGGCTCAGGTCGGTGGCGAGAGGGATCTTGCCCGTGCTATTAGTATCAACAAGGAAGTTTACGACTTCCTTTCTTCTGCCTGCGCCAAATACAATATCGGTTTCTGGCGCCCTGGATCTGGTATTATTCACCAGATCATCCTCGAGAACTACGCTTTCCCTGGTGGACTGCTCATTGGAACTGACTCCCACACTCCCAACGGTGGCGGTCTGGGAATGGCTGCCATTGGCGTCGGAGGTGCTGATGCTGTCGATGTCATGGCCAACCTGCCATGGGAATTGAAGGCTCCCAATGTTATTGGTGTCAAGCTTACCGGCCAGTTATCTGGCTGGACAGCTCCCAAAGGTCAGTGAATAGCACCATATGTATATGCTATCTCAAACGCAACCCCGCGCTATCTCATGCTACCTGTGCAAATCTGAGTGCTGACTATGCGTGAACATAGACATCATTCTCAAGGTCGCCGACATCCTGACCGTCAAAGGCGGCACTGGTGCCATTGTTGAATATCATGGTAAGTAGTTGTGCATAAGATAAGACAGAAAGGAAAATCTGCTGGGTCCACGCGGCTATCTCTGCCTGCATTTGTAAAAAGACGTTCGCCCACGATACCTCATTCTTCCCTTCGGCCCCCCCTTTTCACTTCAAGTTTCATTTTCAGATTGCACAGAATTCTTGCAACTAACACATTAATTTCGCGTTCAGGACCTGGCGTAGACACTATCAGCTGTACCGGCATGGCTTCGTGCGCGAATATGGGAGGTTTGTATTCCATTATCACCCTAGTTATCACGCGACCGTGCACTAATGAGGAATTAGCTGAAATTGGAGCTACTACGTCTGTTTTCCCGTTTAACGACCGAATGTACGACTACCTCGCCGCTACCAAACGCAAAGACATTGGCGACTTTGCGCGTGGGTATGCGTCAGAGCTGCGTGCTGATGAAGGCGCCGAATATGATCAACTTATCGAACTCAATTTGTCAGAACTTGAGCCTCACATCAACGGTCCTTTTACTCCTGATTTGGGCACCCCGATCTCAAAATTCAGCCAAGCTGTGAAGGAGAATGGCTGGCCAGAAGAGCTCAAGGTCGGCTTGATTGGCTCCTGCACCAATTCATCATACGAGGACATGTCCCGCGCAGCGTCTATTGCACGAGATGCGTTGGACCACGGCTTGAAAGCCAAGGCCGCCTTTACTGTAACTCCAGGATCTGAACAGATCCGCGCTACTATTGCGCGAGATGGACAGCTCAAGACCTTTGAGGAGTTTGGCGGCATGGTTTTGGCAAATGCCTGTGGTCCCTGTATCGGTCAGTGGGACCGTCAGGACGTGAAGAAAGGCGAAGCCAATTCCATTCTGTCTTCCTACAACAGAAATTTCACCGGCAGAAATGACGGTAACCCTGCCACTCACTCTTTTGTTACCTCCCCTGATCTTGTAGTCGCTCTCACCATTGCCGGCAGCCTGCACTTCAATCCTCTCACTGATAAACTCAAGGACAAGGATGGCAATGAGTTTCTCCTGAAACCCCCCACTGGAGACGGGTTGCCTGTCCGAGGTTACGACCCTGGAAATAACACATACCAGGCACCTCCCAAAGATCGCATGGGTGTCACCGTGCAAGTTGCGCCAACCTCGGATCGTTTGCAGGTCCTCCAACCCTTCCAGCCTTGGAACGGAAAGGACGTCAAAGACATTCCTATCTTGATCAAGGCGAAGGGAAAAACCACTACTGACCACATCTCCATGGCGGGCCCTTGGTTGAAATACCGTGGCCACCTGGACAACATCTCCAACAACATGCTCATTGGCGCCATCAATGAGGCTAATGATGAGGCGAACAAGATCAAGAACTTTACAACTGGCGATTGGGACGCGGTCCCCGCCGTCGCACGCGACTACAAAAAGAAGGGCATCAAATGGGTCGTCATTGGTGACTGGAACTACGGCGAGGGTAGCTCTCGTGAGCATGCCGCTCTGGAGCCTCGCCACCTTGGTGGTCTTGCCATCGTTACCCGAAGCTTTGCTCGTATTCACGAAACTAACCTAAAGAAGCAAGGAATGCTTCCTCTTACTTTTGCTGACCCAGCCGATTACGACAAGATCAAGCCTGATGATAAGGTACTTGCAAATCTTTCCCTTTCCCCATCTGCGGTTGACGATTCATGTCTCCTCGTTCCTTGCTCTCCGGGACCCCTTTCGTGAATGAGTTGCACCATACTGACTTGTAGGATAGGTTGATATTCTCTGCACACAGCTCGCCGTTGGTGAGCCTATTACAATGGTGGTCCACCCCAAGGACGGCAAGTCTTTCGAGGTTCCCCTACAGCACACATTCAACGAGGCTCAGATTGAATGGTTCAAGAATGGAAGTGCTCTCAACACCATGGCCAAGACCGCCTAAAAACAGTGTACAATTAGGGTGGAGTGAGATGTATTATTGGCGTCGTGGTTGAAGTATACTAGAATACCTATGTAATTGAAATTGAAGGAGCAGTGTCTGATACTATACGATGATGGAGCCTGTAAATTTACGCTGTGATCCAAACATGTTCTTCACGTCTGACGCCACTTTCTGTGTCTTTAGGGTGGAGCGGCCTATGTTGGCGATTATGACGAAAGCCCTTCAACCTGGCAATCTAAGTTGTCTGGCAGTAGGCCATTAGAGCTTGATACGGCCCTCTCTGGTTGGGCAGACGGGGAGCATGCCTTCATCGAGGTTGCCACCTCGCCGGTGCTCTGCTTATGTCAGCCAAAAACGGGTCTCTGAACTACTGGTTAGTTTCGCTCAGGAACTCGACGACGTCAGTACTGTAATGGGCTCCTGGGAACTTCGTCAAGCCGAGATGTGGCCACAGTCACTACGTACTTAGGTACCTACCTACTTTAGGTACTTAAGTGCCCGCCTCTTACAGGTATCTAAGCATTGAATTTCCATACTTGTACACCTATAGAAGCTGGTAGGCGTGGTCTTGTTGACACAACACGGCTCCTACAAATTACTTCATGCTTCGTTGGCTTCAAATACACCCCCAACCGCCTAAAGTTTAACTACTTATTTTCGAGGCGGCCAACAACTAATCAAATTGTATTCAACGTCAACTTCAAGCGAACGTCTGCGGCACGGCATTTACTCGCCCCAGTCCATGTTTCACCTTTCGAGATGCATTCAATCCTACATGACGAGTTCATCTCCACAATAGCAGCTCTATCACAGGTTCCAGTGGTTCACTGCTCTATGTCAATCAGAAGAGATTGATCTCATAAGCCTGAGGGAGATATCTTTGCTGCAATTTCGAATATTCAACTGGCTACGACCGTCTGCAAAAGAGGGTTCCATTGGCCTGTTTTCTTCACACCAACAATCCAAGCCGTACTTAGGTTTCCAAGGAGCGTGATGAGCAACTTGCAAGGCATTCTTCCTATCGAAAATAACTATCACGTTCCTTCAAAAACACCTGAGCAAGAGAGCGAGAACTATGGGAACAAGCCACAAGGCTTGACACCAAAGCTAGGCGACTTCCAAAAGCTGTACGAGACTCGACCGTTGGCCGTGCCAGATCAGACGGGAACGGTTGCTTCTTATTCATCAGCAGGTACCGACGCAAAAGTGAATAAAGCCATCGATTGTAATGACTTGGCACAGCAACCATTTACAGACCAAGTGGCGAAACTGGGAGATTTTCAAAGATTGCAGATTCACCTTCACGGTCGACATCCCGTCCCTGGCCATAGTACCTTGAGAACTAGACAGCAGCTCAGCGCGGTCGAATTTAAAACAAAACCTGCGAGTTTATCGATCGGCCACAACGCTCAGAAATGTCATGGTAAAGAAAAGTGGGATGCCACAATAGTGCCACAGAACTCTCAGAGTCGTCCCTCCTGTTCTTGCTCCTGTAATGAACATCATGATCCGCAGGATACTGAGGGAACTTCTTTTCATCACTTGGGTTGTGTCGCCCAGGCGACAGATGGTTTGCTGCCAAATGATAGCTGCCTAGCATCCGGCCGCGAGCGTAATGCTACGGCTCAATTTGGGCTTCTGTCAGCGACTTTCCACGATAGAAGAAGAGAACAAAGCCAAAACACCGGCATTCTTTGTGCGGGGTACAACGATCTCCGATGTCCAATTCTGTCAACTGCCAGGACATGTAATAGAACAGCCAACACCGCGAGGGTATTGTCGTATAAAATCGGCAAAGAAGGGCCAGTCACCTCTATCCTGGGCGTCAAATCTACTACGGACCAGCAGCATGAATCATTATCATTGAAGCTAGTTCCACTCCGAGCTGCAGATACTATATTGGCAATTCAAGATGACCAAATGGCCAGGAACGGAGTACACATCTTCTTGGATATGTCAAACATCAACATAAGCTTTCAATGTGCTTTAAGGGGCAAATTCTCAATTAAGGAGCATGCTCGTTTTGTGCCGCTACCTCAACTGAATTTACAGTTTCTCACAGAAATACTTGTTCGTGATCGGAAGATTATGACACTCAACGCAGGCTGCTCTGTTCTGCCTCATCGCCAAGAGCCTCGGTTTGTTCAGGAACTCCGAGACTTGGGCTATCGTGTTGATCTTAGAGAGAGAAAACGAGAAAATCATGATTTCAAAGCTGGAGAGGCGTCTTCATCGGACGAATTCGTCTTTTCTCGTAACGGCGGCCGTTATGTAGAGGAGTTGGTGGACGAGACACTACAAACCCGTATCGCAGAATCAGTCATGGAGTTTTTCAAGGATCAGGGTACACTTGTGATAGCAACAGGTGATGCACGACCAGCCAAGTATTCAGACGGATTCTTTGCCTATGCTGAAAGAGCCCTGAGAATGGGATGGAATGTGGAGGTGGTGTCGTGGAGGGCCAGCCTATCGTCCCATTGGAACAGACCAAACTGGGTTGAACAATGGAGCGGACGATTCCGAGTTATTGAGTTAGATGATTATATCGACCATCTCTTAGTATGAAGATTTGTGCTGCATAACACTGCTGTACTTGTCCATATTATAGACTTAAGAGCTTAATACAGCGCACATCGACATTTTCAACTACGATATCAGGCTGAGACCCAGTCATCTCCATCTTTCAACGATGTGAGCCCACTTAGCTGTCTATGTCTTGCTATATTTAGTTACTATTTACTCTCTAGAATGACAATGCATTCGAGCCCATTGGGCCGTGGGTAGCTTTACTGCGGCAAAAGATCATGCAGAAAGTATTTTCATTTCTCCATTCTCCGTGTCATTGGTTCGACCCGTCTGGTCTAGCCGAAATCTTCCATCCTTGCGGTAGCATAAATTCGCTCTTTCAGATGCAGATATACAGCTCTTCACATAATACCAAACATGCTGTCTTCTAGCCAAATATCCGTTCAGAACATGGCTTTTTTGCCTTCATCGCTAGGCATTCGCCCATTGTTCGCCTCCTTGTTATCGTGACTGGACATGTGTCGTTGCAGTCAAATATTTTCTGTCTCTATACATCTACTTGCCTCATTTTGTAATACACATTGAACGTACGGAATACAAATTAAACTTGTGGTACTGGCAATTGAGCATTCCGCCGGATCTAGTATTGCATGTCTCACTAAAAATCTGTCAAATTGCTACTACTACCAGACGAAGTAGTCTACCTCTGGCATCCAATGTCTCACTGCCTAGGTAGTAAGTCAAGCTACATTCCCAACCCGTCGTTGTTTATTGATTGTTGCATATAACACAGGGAACATAATTAGATTTTCTGGCCGGGGCTTCTGCGCAAAACTTCAAATGTCCGATCGATTGACATCCAAAATGTACCCGGCAACCAGCCGAGTCCAAGACCGGTCGTAAACAACAAAGCTCTCCCATTTATTACTCGATGGCGTTTCTCGAAGCGGTTGATCGGCACTATGCCATTGATCACAGGTCGTTGACACGCGAGCATCATTTGCCGAACCGAAAAAGTGTAACCCGGCCGTTGTCTTTGGACTGACTGTAAGTCGTTCGTTTCTATTGTCCTTCAGCAGGAAGACAGAGTTAAATTTCTGTTGAGATACGCCCCCTACCTTAGTATTGAGAGCCATTTGGTCTTCCTAAACCGACAGGTCGAAGCTATGTCTTTAACAACGTTAATTACACTAAGCTTGGGCTTGTTGTCCTTTGCTTCTGGGAAACCTGGTGGTAAATCTTCCTCATTTAACTTAGTTGTTGCGGGCAACTTGTACTAATATTCATCACACAGGAAAAAATTATACCTACTCAATAGCCTCCAGAGGCGAGTCCTCACCTTCCGAGTCATTTGGCATCTCGTACACACCATACAGGTCCGACCAAAACTGCAAGTCTCAGCAAGATGTCGACGATGATATCCAGAGACTGGCAGGTTACTATTCCTTTGTCCGAGTCTACGGCACAGACTGTGACCAAGTTCCTCTGCTGTACTCTGCAGCCAAGAAGCATGACATGAAGCTCTTCTTGGGTATATGGAACCCGTCCTCTGTTGAAGATGAAGCCAACAAGATAATTTCTGGGGTCGACGGTGACTGGGACATGGTGCACACAGTCAGTGTTGGAAACGAGCGAGTCAACAACGGCGAGGCATCTCCGCAGGATCTGATTTGGTCGATGAGCAAGGCGCGGTCGATTCTCCGAGAAGCGGGCTACGATGGCCCCGTGGTCATAGTAGATACCTTCACGGCGGTTCTAGCCCATCCCGAGCTGTGTGACGAGTCGGACTACTGTGCTATCAATGCACATGCCTTTTTTGACGGCACGATTGCTGCGTCGCAATCTGGGGAATGGTTGAAAGACACCGTATCCAAGATTCAATCTAGGATTGCCGCAGACAAGAAGGTCGTGGTTGCCGAAACTGGTTGGCCAATGCAGGGTGGCACGAATGGACTCGCAGTTCCCGGTTTGGATAATCAGAAAGTGGCCTTAGATGCCATCAGGGAAGAATTTGTTGATCGTCCACAAGACGTCATTCTATTCTCTGCTTTCAATGACTTGTGGAAACAGAAGAATTCGGCAACTTTTGAGGCGGATCCGTTTTGGGGTATCGGCGGCGCGGTTTCCTCATGCGATGAGTAGCCCACGCACGAACCTTTGCCTTTTACATAGCAGACCCAATCTGTACAATATTTTCATTACACATGATTCGGCGGGATGAGAATGTCCGGTGGTTTTGCTACCGTTTCCGTAATTATCGTTTGCCTTGGTCTTGATTCACATACCGTGACATGTGCGGCGCGCATAACAAATAATTCTCGTAGTGTAACGAAATACTTAGGGACAAAATGGTTCATGGGTACGAGGCCTGAGATAGCTACAGAAAAGTCAATGAGAAAACTAGCCCTCCTTGTCCTCGAGGGTAAATTCATCCAGCGTCTTGAAACGCCCCAGCATTGTCAACACGATATTTATGAATCGTAGCCACCAATACAAGTAAGCATTCTCAATTTCCCTGCGTGTCCCTCCCTGCATATACATCATATTATCTATTATCTGAACAGACAGCTAGTGGCGAAAGTCGAGGCTCGGCCTTGAGGAATCCAAGCTAGGGCGAATTGAGCTGCTCGAGCTTCGTCGCCGCCTTGCTCGCTGCTCTGAAGGATCGGCAGGATGCAGTCCAGTGTACTTGGCGAATATATTAAGGACATCAGTCAAAGACAACACTCCACTCAATTTCCCAGAGAGGTGTGCACCAGGCATGGCGGACGCAGGCACTGCACCAGAAGGCACCGCCGATGTAGGCGTTGCCATCGGAGCTTGAGGCGTGCTGACCACGCCATGCGGCCCCATCAAAGGAGTAGCTGGAGCTGATGGCGAGGGTGAGGCAGATTCCACCACCCACATGCGATGTGAACGTGTAGCAACCAGTTTGGCGACGGTATGAGCAAGAGTAGAATACGTGTTCACGAAGAAAACGGGAAACGTATCTCGACCTTTCTCTACACCCCGCTCATTCAAAATAACGGATATGAAATGCATGCACGATCCGTCAAGGAGAGGTGCACTAGATGCAGATGTAAGATGGCGGACATCTTTGGTTGAGATATTGCCAACCACATTCTGGCCATTGTCGACGACTGCAACACTGGTTAATCCTTCGTTATTCATGAGGATAAGGGCCTCCGCAAGAGGAGCATCCGAACTGTGTGTTTGGTTAGCTTTGGTGTTCGAGTTTCCATTTTCCGGAGGATACAAAGGGAAATGGGACATCACTGACTTGACAGAGATAACTTGTTGTGTTCCTACACCCAGATCTCGGAGCATGATAGGGTACAAGCGGTCAACGGCAGGAAAATTGACACCCTCATTCCAGAAAAAATCAACCATCAAGAGCTGACTCATAATTCCTACGACATTGCCGAGTGAATTGGTAATAAGAATGCGATGAATTCCACTTCCTAGTATTTCGATAGCTTGAGCCAGGTTGCCATTAGACGGAAGTCCAACGAGTGGTTCTTGTCTACACAGGGGTTGTATTTGTCGCATAGAGATATTCTTCCCCTCCCGAGCGTTAAGCATTATATCGTTATACAGCTCAACTTGATGTGTCTCGGGCTTTGAGAGGCCAACAACGACTAGAAGGTAAGCGTTGAGATCTGAGTAGTCAAAGGTGGCCACAGCAGCGGGCAAAGAGCTGGATTCTCGCACAAGGACTACATTTGTTTTGCTTTTCAACAAGGCCTATGTTGGTGGTTAGCGATTGCAATTAGTTGGGAGGCAGCACTGCGATTCAGTCAGGATAACAAGGACAACCGCGTACCATTGTAGCCTCTTCCACACTACTGTCCATGTCAACCCATTTCACATCGTCCGGTGAAACTAGCTCTCCGACTGTTATTTCGACCCATTCCTTTCCAGCAAACTTGGGGTTTGTATGCCTTTGCCCCGATGGTGGATGGTTCAACAGCTCTTGAACTGCCGCCTGAGTAAAAGAAGGGTGTCGGTGGCGGGGAGATGGAGGAACATTTCGGAGGTTCTCTGCAAAACTTTGCCGGTGTGCAGACTTGTTCATATTGCTTAGTGACGGTGTTCTCTGTGGCGGACCTTCGTGATTAGAACCGCCGGCATGGCTCGGGTCAACGCTTGCTAGTCTCGGGGAGCCAGAATCTCCTGAGGCTTCCCCCCTTCCTCGGACGGAGCCAGAAGAAGGATCCATGGGCAAAAGGCAGTCCCGGGTTGATGAACTCTACGGCCGTCTAGAGTTGGACAAGGTGTCGGGCAAGGTGTTGTTATAGGTGAAGTTTGGCGCGATAATATCTCACCTGGAGCAACTTCGACCACCATGTATGTATGGAGGGTTCAACAAAGCGGGATCACTATAAGATTGCGGGACGATGGGAAGGCGTCGGAGCTTTGTGTTGCAGGTCACTGGATTGTGTCTAATAGGAGCTTTATGAGTCCTTTAATGGTATATCGGGTTGTCGGGACTAGCAGCTAGCTATCCGAAGACGTCGATGAGGACCGGTCTGTGGCGGGGGTGGGGATAAAATTACAGTTTGCGGTGACGTCGCCAATGGGAGCCGCGGTTAGTCAGGACTGGGCACCCACGGTACCAGACCCTACTTAGAGGTACCTTGGTCGCTGCATATGTACAAGTAGGTTTGCTCCAGGCGTGTCAGGCACTTAAGCAGGCAATGTGTTGTTTATACTCCAAGCAGAATTAATTATATGGTGCCAAATACTCTGCTATGGTGTGCTACTGGCAGTGATTTTATGGTACGGAGTAGATCAAGCTACCTTACCTGTAGCGGAACTAAAACAAGCTTGTTGCAGACCATTGCTCTCCAAACATCAATTATGCCAACTTCTAGCAAACTGTGTCACCACCAGGCCGCCACCTCAATGCTGCCTTAAAACGTTTCCCAGTGTCCAGCCATTCGGCTCGCAGCATGCAGGTCTCCAACTTGCGAACAAATTCCAATTACCGCAGGATTTTGTTGAATCATCCTCAAAAACATTGCGCCACCATGGTCTGAAACACCTGGTCTACCCGTGTCGCCCTACCCTAAACAAGGTCGTTGAAAGAACTAGACTGCCTGCTGGCGTTTCACCAAACTCGATATGCCAGATTCGAACTCGGTATCCTAGAGCGCTAGGAAGACGCGGTTGTTTGGGTACAACACCAGAGGGTATCCACTGTATTTATGCGCTAGCCTTTAACAGGTCATGAGGATATGTCGCTGATTTTTATATTTTTCTTTGGTGTTGGATGGCCAGCTGGGAGCAAGAGATTAATATTCATCCCTCAGGTCAGGCAGTGTGGCTGGTTACCCATGATTGATTCCGACATCAGCGAGATGTCGCATTAAGCCTGGCACTACCGTTAGTGCTGACTATCTCTGAGTACCTACCTACTTGAGTACCTTAAGTAGGTAGGTAGATAAAGTACTTAGATGCAAGTACGTGCTGGTCGACCGCCCAATAGTTATAACAGTTGAGCTTTTATTGCGTTGCGTGGGCTGTCTATTAGGCTGATACCGGATTGACTCTTTAATGTTCCTAGCCGCAGAACCCAAAAACCAGCCCACACCACCCGCGTCTTCCCCTCCCCCACTTTCTCTCACCCACGAAAAGTTGTGACCCTTTGGAGGCGGTCCTGATTTTCTTCCTGGCCCTCCGTACTCCAACATACACCTTGCCTCGACCTTACGCGCGTATACGTGTCATTCACAGATATCGCCAATACTCAACAGACAAGTTTCAGGCTGCAAGGCGCTTGCACCGCCCTGCCGCCGCGATCATGTCTCTTCTATCCGCCGAGGTCCATGCCGAGCTGACTCAGTTGCTCCAAGCACTCCAGTCCGCCGACAATGCCACTCGATCTCAGGCTGAAGAGCATCTTCAGAATAACTGGACCAGCAGCCGCCCAGAAGTTCTTTTAATGGGACTTGCTGAACAGATACAGGGTGCTGGAGATAATGCCGTATGTGACCTATATTCTTCCATTTGCTTCTCTCCCATTACTGCTCTCTGACATTCTGTTCCCAGGCTCGATCTTTCGCAGCCGTTATATTTCGCCGGATAGCCTCTAAAACCCGAAAAGTAGAGTCTGGAAACAACGTGGATGTGTTCTACTCATTGGCTAAAGATCAAGCCGCTGTCATTCGTCAAAAACTCCTAGAAACACTCGGCGCGGAACCTGATCGAATCGTTCGTAACAAAATTAGCGATGCAGTTGCGGAGGTTGCTAGGCAATATACAGACAACAGTGAGTATTTAAAGGAATGCAGAAACATCTCCTTTTCCGGAGCTGATCCTAAGTCATGGGATAGACGACTCCTGGCCTGAACTCCTGGGCGCACTCTTCCAGCTCAGTCAGGCCCCGGAGGCGGAGAAGCGAGAGAACGCATTTCGAGTGTTCAAGACGACGCCGGGAATAATCGAACGACAGCATGAGGAAACTGTTCTTCAAGCGTTCCAGAAGGGATTCAAAGATGATGCCGTCATGGTATGTTACAAACATGACTACGCATGCTGTGAAGGCAAAGTAGATATGACGAAGGAGCGAGAAGCGGAAAGCTAATGATTCGACTAGGTTCGTCTGGCAGCCATGGAGGCATTCGCATCCTTTTTCAGTACCATCTCCAAACAATCCCAGATGAAGTACTATGCCCTGATTCCTGACGTCCTCAACGTGCTTCCGCCCATCAAGGATTCGCAAGATTCAGAAGACCTGAGTAAAGCCCTGCTGGCTTTGATCGACCTAGCAGAAACGGCTCCTAAAATGTTCAAACAACTCTTCCAGAATTTAGTCCAATTCAGCATCTCAGTCATTCAAGACAAGGAACTGGACAGCATTTGCCGCCAAAACGCCCTCGAACTCATGGCAACCTTTGCCGATTATGCACCATCCATGTGTCGAAAAGATCCTTCTTACACCAATGATATGATCACACAGTGCCTGAGCTTGATGACCGATTTAGGTGAAGACGACGACGATGCTGCGGAGTGGCTGGCTTCCGATGATGTAAGTCGGCTATTCGTACATGATCACTTTGTTTCGACTGCTCTGACCCTTATATTCTGCTTCAGCTTGACCAAGACGAAAGCGACCAAAACCACGTGGCGGGCGAACAGGCCATGGACCGCTTGGCAAATAAACTCGGGGGGCAGACCATCCTGGCCCCAACATTTAATTGGCTTCCCAGAATGATGAACTCGATGGCGTGGAGAGATCGTCACGCCGCCCTGATGGCCATCTCTGCGATATCGGAAGGATGTCGCGAACTTATGATTGGTGAATTGAGTCAGGTATTGGATTTGGTCATTCCAGCCTTGCAAGATCCTCACCCTCGGGTCCGTTGGGCGGGCTGCAATGCCTTGGGGCAAATGAGCACAGATTTCGCGCCCAAGATGCAAACAGACTTTTACGACCGAGTTTTGAAAGCTGTTGTACCAGTCTTGAACTCCCCGGAGGCCAGAGTCAAGTCCCATGCCGCCGCAGCTTTGGTCAACTTTTGCGAGGAGGCGGAAAAGTCGATCTTGGAACCTTATCTTGATGATTTGTTATCTCATCTCTTTCAGCTCCTTCAAAGCGACAAGCGCTATGTGCAGGAGCAGGCTTTGTCTACTATTGCTACCATCGCCGACGCTGCGCAGGCCGCGTTTTCTAAGTACTATGACACGCTGATGCCACTCCTGGTCAACGTACTTCAAAACCAGAGCGAGAAAGAGTATAGACTCCTTCGTGGCAAAGCCATGGAATGTGCGACCCTAATTGCTCTTGCCGTTGGCCGGGAACGACTCGGCCAAGACGCGATGACTCTCGTCAACTTGCTTGCCAACATCCAGACTAACATTACGGATGCGGACGACCCGCAAGCACAGTATCTTATGCATTGTTGGGGCCGGATGTGTCGCGTGCTCGGCCCAGACTTTGTACCCTTCTTGGACAATGTCATGCCGCCCCTACTGGAATTAGCTATGGCAAAGGCTGACATCCAGCTGCTTGACGATGATGAGCAAGCGGAACAAATGAACGGAGAGGACGGCTGGGAGTTTGTCCCTCTTAAGGGAAAGATGATTGGTATCCGAACGAGTACCATGGATGACAAACACATGGCAATTGAGTTACTAGTCGTTTATGCGCAGGTGCTCGAAGCAGCTTTCGCCCCCTTCGTCGCGAACATCATGGAAAAGATTGCACTCCCTGGTCTGGCATTCTTCTTCCATGACCCCGTCCGGTATATCTCAGCAAAACTGGTTCCACAGTTGCTAAGCTCATACAAGAAGGCATATGGATGCCCTTCCAATGAACTTGCGGGTCTCTGGGCGGCTACAGTTGGTAAACTTCTTGAGGTGCTGAGCGCTGAACCTTCTATCGAGACCTTAGCTGAGATGTACCAATGCTTCTATGAATCCGTAGAAGTAGTTGGGAAGGATTGCCTTACCCCTGTTCATATGAATGGATTCATAGATTCTGTTCATTCGACAATCGAGGACTACCAAACTAGAGTTACCCAGCGAGCTGAGGAAAAGGCAGGGGCAACGGCGGACGATGTTGAAGACGAAGCCGAAGAGATTGAAAGGGAGATTGAGGATGACCAAACTCTATTGTCGGACATGAACAAGGCCTTCCACTCTATTTTCAAGAATCATGGAGCGGCATTTCTTCCTGCCTGGGAAAGATTAATGTCCACCTACGAGAGCTTCCTGACGTCGACAGACCCAACGCAAAGGCAATGGGGTCTTTGCATCTTGGATGACGTCCTCGAATACTGTGGACCTGAAAGCAACCGGTATGCCAATTACATCACACAACCTCTGATTGACGGCTGCCGAGATCCATCTGCAGCTATCCGGCAGGCTGCCGCGTATGGAATTGGCGTCGCAGCACGTCACGGAGGAGCGCCATGGACGCAGTTCCTGGGCGGCTCAATACCTTATCTCTTCCAGGTTACTCAGGTTCCGGAAGCCCGAAACGACGAAAATGTATACGCTACGGAGAATGCATGTGCCGCCATAGCCAAAATCCTTCATTACAATGCCGGCAGCGTGGGGGATGTCCAAGCTGTCGTTTCGCAATGGGTTGAAACCCTCCCCGTCACCAATGATGAGGAGGCAGCCCCGTATGCTTACGCATACCTCGCCGAATTGATTGACCAGTAAGCAAACTTGAAATGACAGGAACTCATTGCAGTGTACTGACCATATCACCTGTGTAGGCGTAATCCTGTAGTTCTGAACCAAGCAGGCAAGATATTCGTTTTTGTGGCACAAGCTCTGGAAGCAGAGGCGCTACAAGGACAGACGGCTAGTCGAGTTGCCTCTGCGACAAAGGCACTGCTTACAGCGACAAGTGTCGATCCAATGCCCCTTTTAAGTCAATTCTCCCCCGAGGCACAACAAACAATAATGGGCTATTTCAACTGAGACTTGGAGGCAAAAGTGATCGAATGATGTAGCAGAAGATGGACAAGACAGAGTCTCTAACGCGACGGCATGCGTAGAATATTTCAAATGACGTTGGGGAAGCAAACTAATTTGATTCCCTTCATATTGCATAATGCACCAGAGACACAATGCTTGAAACAAATGCAAGAGAATGAGAAGTTGAATGGGAACGGCTGGTCGGAGCGGACTAGATTGAGTGGATGATGACATTTTACTTCGCTCGAGGACTATAGACTACGAATGGCATCATTGTTTGCCTTGAAGCAACTTACGCAAGCAAAGCGAAGCAAAGCAAAGCAAAGATTCCAGATACAGAATTAAGAGCAAATGAGTTTTATATGTATTCTCTCATTTTTTCTATTTCAAACTATGCGTTCAGTGATCAGATCTCCAGACTTTGTCTTTTACTAGTAGTACGCTGCCTCTGTGGAGATGCAGAACGGGGCAAATGATGTTGTACGCTGTACAAACTGTTCAAACAGGGCTCTCCTTGAGAAGCGAACATATCCCCCAACTGAAGAAACCCGCAAAGGTTATTGTGCCTCGCTGTTAATAGCTAGTAGGAAGATCTGGTTCTAAAGACGACCAGAAAAGTGCTGGGAGTGAGACCAAAAAGTGCCGGGCACGTGCCTCAAGTGTGTGTCCAATGTGATGACTTGATTGCACCAGATGTGTTGATTGGGCGCCCAAATGTGTAGCCGTTGAGTAAGGGTACATACAAAGGCTCTCGAATAGGTCCAATGCCAGTAGTGACGCGGCCGAGGCTTTCATGCGCAGCGTGACCAACTTATCTATTATGTACGTAGTAAGTACCTAGGTATTAGGTGGTAAATAATATTGGTTAAGTACCTAGATGCAGAAGCAAATGGAGAGACCAGGCAAGAGGCGAGAGGCAAAAGGTCATATCCACAACCAGAATTTGACAACCCAACAAGCTTGTTGACACTGGCTGACATGCATGTGCAATGGCTTTAACATGACGCGGAAGGTACCGGTTCGTAGCCAAGTTGATGATTTTATACACGGTGGGACGCGGGCTCACTAGTGACATACAATCATACTTAAGTGAAGTATGTTGCATGTTGCTGGAGAGTGTAGATAGAGAGACGTGGGCGGGATTGTAGCGCCAATGCACCTAATTGAGTGTTCATTGAGCCGACGGGTGAAGAGACATTGACTGATTGAAGGCCCACACCTGCTGCACCCACGACTTGGGAGCGCCTCCAGCTCACCCCCTCATCCGTCTACTTCCTCAGCCAAGTGATCGAAAAGTTTCTAGCTCTAACACTTGCAATCACACCCCCGCCACACACAAGATTCCATCAACACGTAACGTCCGACTCGACATTGTATACCCGTTACCAGAATCCTTGACTGTCGCCGCTACTGTATTCCTATCCAATCCACCCGGCTGTGCTCAGGAACGTACAGAGAACCCTTTGCCAAGGAAAGCCATCATTTCTGTCATCAAGTACTGGGGCTATACGGAAGAGAAGCTATCGTGGGGAAGTTGAATTTGTCGGGGATCTCGATTTTATTCAAGTTCGTCTTCCTATCGAGACCGTGAAGATATTCGGCCCACCTTGGGGGGTAAGCTGCATATCTTGACTGCTGTACCCGTCCCGTTGAAAGGGCGACGGAGCCGTCTTCCTAGATGCTGTTACCATGGACGACTACTACAAAACTAATGCGCTGCCTCCCCAGGAGGGGCAGCGTCAAATGCCACAACAACACGAGGGGCAGCAACAGCAGCAGCAACAGCCATCCGGCAATGTCATCGACATGATCAATCGTTCATCGGTATCAGGCTCGCAAATGTCTCTGCAACCCCCACCGTCCGCGATGCCACAACTTATACAGAACCAGCCGATGATATCAGGGGACTCTCTGGATGATATCATAAGGAATAATCATACTGAGATGCACCGCCGAAAGAGCATGCCCCATGCTTACGGAAGTCCCCTCATGCAAGATGAAAACCCTCGGCGAATGTCTTCTATCGCGGCCTCTGAGGATGTCATGGCCTTTGACCCAAGTCAGCATGACTTGGGAAACTTCCAGTTTTCACAGCCCGTTGGCTCATCATTTCATGGCATCAATCCAAGTTTAGAAATGACAGATCAGATGGGAGGTTTTGTTACCGATGCTACTGACTACTCTGGAATTTCCGCCGACCTGATCGGTCCCATGAATCCACCTCCCTTCGGCAACGTCGAATTGAGCCAGATGCCGAACGAACCTTCACTATCACTCTTCCCACCATCACCTGTTCCTGGAGCAGGGTCTGGGGCGAGGCCCATGAATAGTGGGTTTGTTTCTGGACAGATGCCCAACTTGAGTGCGACATTCGGGACGGAACCGGCGCCGAGTAGCTCGACTCTGACAGCAACTTCGAATACGCTACCCGGCTCTATAGACGACCATCCCGATGGCATGATGCATATCTCGACCTCGCAGTTGAATGCCGTGAATCCACCGGCGAGTCGGGTGCCTGAAACAATGGTTGCAAACCCCGTGTCGAGCAACTTGGGGCAACCGTTACCGCATTCGCTGTCAAGGCACATATCTTCCGAGTCAGGGATCACTCAGCCAAGTTCTACATCTGGGCCCACTACCCCAGCCACGACATCAACTCCTCGAGAAAGCAAGGAGAAAACAATATACTCCAAGAGTGGGTTCGATATGCTGAAAGCACTGTGGCTGGTGGCTACAAGGAAAGACCCGAAGATTCATCTCGGGGCTGTTGACATGTCATGTGCATTTGTCGTCTGTGACGTCACAATGAACGACTGCCCAATCATTTATGTGTCAGATAATTTCCAGAATCTTACGGGATACAGTCGCCATGAGATTGTAGGTCAGAATTGTCGCTTTCTTCAAGCGCCAGACGGCAAGGTTGAGGCTGGGTCCAAACGTGAATTCGTGGATGATGGTGCCGTTTATAATTTGAAGAACATGATTCGTGAGGGCCGTGAGGTTCAACAAAGCTTGATTAACTATCGAAAAGGCGGGAAGCCGTTTCTAAATTTACTTACCATGATACCAATCCCATGGGACACGGACGATATCAGATATTTCATTGGATTCCAGATCGACCTAGTTGAATGCCCAGATGCTATTTCAGGACAAGAGCTGGGCGGCGTCAAAGTCAATTACAAGCACAATGATATTGGTCAGTATATCTGGACACCGCCAGCTTCTAGTCAATGGCAGCCAGAGAACGGACAAACGCTGGGGGTTGATGATGTATCAACACTCCTTCAGCAATTTAGCCCAAAGGGATTGGTGTCTGATTGGCATAAGCAGTCCTGGGACAAGATGCTATTGGAGAACACCGATGATGTTGTACATGTCCTGTCCCTCAAAGGGTTATTCTTGTATTTATCCCCGTCTTCGAAACGAGTTCTGGAGTATGATGCTATTGACCTCGTCGGCAATTCCTTATCCTCGGTTTGCCATCCCTCCGACATTGTACCTGTTACGCGAGAATTGAAGGATGCGACAGCTAGCGCCCAAGTCAATATTGTTTTCAGGATAAGACGGAAGCAAAGCGGGTATACGTGGTTTGAAAGTCATGGGTCATTATTTGTTGAGCAGGGTAAAGGTAGGAAGTGTCTCATCTTGGTTGGCCGCAAACGACCCGTCTTTGCACTTAGTCGCAAAAACTTAGAGTCAAATGGTGGCATCGGTGATAGTGAGCTGTGGACCAAGTTGTCAACTTCTGGAATGTTCTTGTTTGTTTCATCGAATGTCCGGTCGTTATTGGATTTGCAGCCCGAATCACTTGTCGGCACAAGCATCCAAGAGCTCATGCGAAAGGAATCTCGCCTTGATTTCGGGCGACAAATTGAAGCGGCTCGGCGAGGAAAAATTGTTTCCTGCGAGCACGAAGTCCAGAATCGTCGAGGCCAGGGTCTTCGGGCCCTAACCATACTGTATCCGGGTGATGCTCCAGAAGGGCAGAAGCCATCATTTCTACTCGCACAGACAAAGTTGGTGAAAGCCAATCGTGTTGTCCTAGCGACTGCAACGAGCAATAGCCAAGCAGCCTCAACGTCGTCTCAATCTAACGCAGTTCCTGAATTACATTCGGGTGCAGGGCAGGTCTCCCAACCCCCTGGAGGGGGTTTGCCCCTCGGGACACAGGATGCAGCCTTAGCAGCCTTAGCAGCCGAAGACAACATCTTCGACGAGCTTCGGACGACGAAATGCTCCAGCTGGCAATTTGAGCTGAGACAGATGGAGAAGGTGAATAGAATTCTTGCCGAAGAGCTTGGTGGGCTTCTGTCCAACAAAAAGAAGAGAAAACGACGAAAGGGGGTCGGAAATATGGTCAGAGACTGTGCAAATTGTCATACTCGCAATACACCGGAATGGCGACGTGGCCCAAGTGGACAAAGGGATCTTTGCAACAGCTGTGGACTCCGTTGGGCGAAACAGGCAAGTATTCCCTAAGAAACCTACAGATTTACCTTCATACTCATTCCCGTCTTAGACCGGACGTGTGTCGCCGCGGAACTCTTTTCGGGGAGGCAATAATGGCAACGGCGATTCACAGAGCAAGAAGTCTCCATCTCCCATTCATTCATCTCCTTTGCATAAAGAATTTGCTTCTGAGAACCCAACTTCGCAAGCTGTGGTAGCCAAGGGCGACACAGACGAGACCGACATGCTGAATCCCTCACAGCTAGGCAACCACGTTTCCAGCGAAGCATCAGAATCCAACTTGGTTCAAAGACAGATGATGGCGATGCCACCTCCGAGCCAGCCGTCACTTTCGAGTGGTGCGGCAGGTTCGGGTATGACGTCTATTCGTGAAGAACATGAAGCGAGTCAGTCATAGACTGTTGACATGACGACACGCCGCATTCATTTTTCCATTCCTTCCTTTGCTTTTACTTCTACCGCTAATGTAGTTGCCCGTTGCAAGTTTGCACTGTACCAAGGCAATGCTAGTATTTACCTGCTCCTCAGGTTTGCAAGGTCCCCAGGCAACCCAACTCTGTTCAAACTGGCTCAAGACTCTTCTATCTTACCTCATTGATACCCCTTCGTCATCGGTATTGGATGGCTGTTTGTGCTATCCGCGTGCGGACTACTAAATGAGCCGGTGAATAAAGCTGTTTTTGGTGAAACAATTGGGTCATGGTCGGCTACGGAGAAGAAATGGTTATCTTACACATTGACCTATTGGAAAGCCTGGTTCCCCCCAGCGCTATACGGTGTGGGATATGTTTTTCTGGCCGGGTGCGCTTTTTGGTGTATACGAGGCATTGAGGACTTGGCATACATATGAGAATACACGAAACCAAAGTTCTTCTTGCACTTATTTTCTAATCCATCATATGTCCGGCACGCATCGTCATGTTGTGCACGGCCTTGTAGATGGCCAGCATCCTACCACGTCTTGCGCCTCTACAAATAGAATATGATGGAGGGGAGGCAGTGGTGTAATCCTCACTTAGACTTGGCTGGCTCTGCCGAGACTTGGCAAAGCCACCGGTGACACGAGTGAGTATGATGTAATAGGAACAAAGCACAGGCGCACAGGGTACCAGCAAGGGAGCAGAGGGGTTTGCTGCGGGCAATATTAGCCACCCCCACCATAAGCCTCCGGGAGGGGGCTGGGCAGATAATGCTTCACTCCTCCTTCTAGCTTCCATCGACCATGATTTGATAACTGGCAAAACCACCAGAGGAAACATTAGCCAGCCTTATATAAAGCCCTTGCGCTTAAGGAATTCGTTTGGTACCTTAGGACTGGAGTCCCTTCGTCAAGGACGCTAGTTGATACCCTCAACTGTACGATCAGACTTCTTCCTGGGCAACATGTATAAATACTGACAATCGCGCAAGTCGCCTGCCTAGCAGCTTCACGCGGAACGAAAATGCCGGGATACCACGTCACTCCCCTTTACGGAGGTGCGATTGTTTGCGACATACCAGAGAAGTTTGCCGATGTCAGGTAAGTCACAGAGAAAAATCGAAACTAGGACTGAGCCCGTCTCCCATCCTATCGATCACGGCATAACATGTCCACAGCAAACTACGTCAAGTGCCAGATAACCAAGAGGTATGGATCGATAAGGACGGATATACCAGCATTATCTTTGATATTACAGAGCGAGTCGGCGAGCCGGGACATGGCCCCGAGATCGATGGTCGCGCAATGACTACACACCTAGAAGACATGGTAGGGTCAGATATTGATACTGTAAAGATCTGGAATACCGCAGAAACTGAGTTTTCTCGCCTCGAGTACGTGCCCCGTCGAGCAGTGAGAAATATTTGGCTGGGGACGTCTGCCTTTTTGTCATGTGATTTTGGCTAACATGCGACACTGATTCAGGTCGAAACCCCCAGCGTACACGCTCATCGCTACCCAGACCCCAAGGACCGGGCAATCTCGTCAAGGCGGCTCGCCACCAGACTTCACAGCTATCATAATGACTCTGTTGCGGCTGGAGAAATACAAATCAGATATTCTCATTACAATCAATGTGCCGCATATAAAAGGGGAGTATGACGAAGACGAGGTTGACCTAGAGCTTGGCAAGCAGGGTAAGCTGATTGGAGATGCCGTGGAATACTCGGCTCGGATCTGGGAATCGCTTAAGATCAAAGACTGGGGTCTATTTGGAGAATCGTAACTTGAATATGAAATGGCAACTACCAGACGCTGTATTTGAAATGGCTTTGCATTGGTTCTATCAAATAGCAGGTGCTGGACAACTGCACATTGTCCCAAATGTACTATGGCTATGTCACCAGTACGCTGAGACTGAGAGGAAGTTCTTACTGAAAGTTCTCTGGAATGCCGTTTCTTTGGGCAGTTTCTTGATCCATTTTGAAATCTGGTTATGAATACTAGTCCCTATGATCATTACAGTATGAAATCCCTATTGTACAGGCCTAAACGCCACTCGATTGCTTGGTAAGAGTGCCACAACTGCTATTGCCCATGTTATTCAATCGCCAAGAGTCAAATCAACCATTAATTTGGTAGTAAAATGGGCTTGGGTATCGTCTGGCCGTTTCCTTATTACCATGTCCTCTTTTGTATGGGAACTGGCATTCTCCTGCTTCTTCTTCTTCTCAATAGCCCATTTTTCAGCGATTATCTTCAAAATTTCTCGCTGCGGAACGTCAGGATTCTCCCGCTTCACCAATTTCATCTGATCCTTCACAAACAGCTGGTATTCGCTTTGCCCTGATGCGCCGCTATTATTTGCAACTTTGGCTCTTGGGGCAGGTTTGACTTGCTTGAGCTCGCCTTTGCAGGTCCCGCATCGGTGACGCTGCGTATCAATGCTTTTAGAATGCCTCTTGTACCCCAGTCCGCAATTAGTACACTCCCATTTGTACTTGAAATTAATTTCGTAAGCATGTTTGGTGGTTACGTGAATGCCCCTGTGACCGAAGATACGAGAGCATTTTGATGCCCAGGATTTGAACTCTTTCCCATGGGGATTAGTCGTCAAACCGTTAATCATAAAGGTAGTCAAATGACAGAATTCGTGTGCAAGCACATTGAGAAGCCTGTTTTCATCATCGATAACCTTGTCGGCAAGTTCGATTGAAGCATGGTGTTTATGCATTGTGTCAACAATTGACCCGTCAGATTGCTTAGTTCGGACGGTCTCGCGTCGCCAGTTCGCCCGGCCGGCAGTGGTGTGAAGACTTTTGGTCCAAACAATCTTCACGCCATTTGTAGAGTTGGTTAGTTTGGAAATCTGACTGTTTGCAATTTGGAGATCCAGCTCCCGAAGAAAATTTTCAGCTATGGCTTGTTTTGTCGCCTCGAATTCCATCTTCTTTCCTTTTCTCAAGACTCCTTTCGACTGGTTTACGGTGCATTCCGGCTTGATTTTTTTTTGACGAGTAGGCTCCCAATTCCAGTCGTCAACAAGCGTCTCAGCCAAGGACGCATTTGGGGTAGATCCACGTGGCTTCCGTGGAATAGCCTGGTGCTTGTGAGATGAGCTCAGAGTTTCAGGAGGACTGCTAGGTGGTGTGATAAAGACGGGCAGATTATGTATGGGCTTGGAACCATCGTCAGTGGACAGCTCATGAGAATCTATTTGCATTTGTTCGAACAAGCTCAATAGGTCCTCGTGATCAGATGGTGTAATCGACCGAATAGCCGAGAGCTTCCCTGGCAGGGCTGATTCATTGTCGAGTTTAATCGATGATACCCTGTTTGGACTCGGAACATTCTCTCTAATTGGCTTAAGCGGTCCTTCGGATCCAGTCTGCCTAGTATCATTATAGTCTGTTGAAACAGATGAGCGTTCATCATCAAGAGAATTATATGTGAATTTGCCAATGCCGGGAGGGAAAGATACAGACGCGGATCCAGGGTTGAGACTTGAAAAACTGCCCGTCTTAGGATCATCATCACAGCAAAAATTCGATCCACCAACAGCCAAAGTGCTGTTGATACTGGAACTATGGGCTGAGTTTTCCGCAGATATTTGTTGATGCGACCCGTGATGACAAAGCTCCTGGTCCGAGGATGATAGTAGAGTCCAGGACATTGTTTGATTAGGACTATCAAGATTCTCTCGTATCCCGGCAGATCTCGATCCTGAGTTTTTCCTTTCTCGTTCTTCTGTCGATAGTGGAACTAATGGACCTTTCCTCAGCACTTCTGAGCAGCCTTTTGCTTTTCGTGTAGGAGAGATGAGACTAAGTGCGTTGATGCGAGCTGGACGAGCTAATGCTGGAGGAGAGTCGTTTTCGAATTCAGTAACCAAGCCTAGCTTTGCAGGGGATTCTCTCATGGTGGTCTGTGAGAGAGCTTGTATTCCATCGTGATCGTGTGCGCTCCATGGCTGGAATAAGGGGTTGTCGGCTGCCTGATCACGTCCACGCAGTCGTCGCATTTTGCGACTTGAGGCTGTTTGGGTATTTTTGGGTACGAGATCACTTCTGGTTGGGGTAGAAATACGAGGGACAGAGTTTGTGCATTCAACCTCGGAATCACCACCCTTTTGCCTCGACGCTTGCCTCGACCGTGTACATTGATGTGACAATTCATCATCACTGGTAGGCAAAAAATCAGCCAAGCGAGCCATTTTCCACTACGAACTGGAACCGTATGGGCCGCAAGGTGGGCTGCAAGGGGACAGACAGATTGTCGTCTGGCCACGATATGCGTAAACAAAAAGAGACGAATAAGAGCTATTTCCACAATAACAAAGAATGCTATGATATGAACACCACGTAGACACTGCTTTGTGGTCTGAAGCCACGAGTTTGTAAACACAGCCGGTCCATGGAGTAGAAAGAGTTGCCACAGCAACGGAATGTCACGTGTAGTTGGATGGGGTTGCTGGCAACTGATTTTCGTGACATTTCAGTGTTCATTTCGGCGTGGAAGCATCAGTGGATATGAGAAAAACGGAATATGTACATACATACTCCGTACACTGTAGGTATCGGGCACTTAGGTGAGTGCCTACAGGCTTAAGTGACCAACGCATAATCGTGTCCTGCATCCATGATCAGACAGGCCAGGCCAGGCCAGGCCAGCCCAGTGGCCTAGGGCTGGGCACCTGGGTACTAGGTAGTAGTACGAATAGTTTGTACTCCGTACTCCGTATTTTCAGATCCTGGTGCATGCATGTCCTTCGTACTCATTAACTGATGGAGACGCCGTACAATGCCGATTGTGCCGACTCGTCCTGGCACCCTGATGCTGATGAAAGGGGTTCGTCGCACTGCCCCACACGACTTTTTGCCCCTGAATGTGGCTGTGCCAAAACCGAAGACCCTGGTAAACTCCATGGTTGCTTATCGCCCAGTCATTGGGAAGTGCCTGCCAATTTATTAATAGCGTGGAGTACGGAGTACCTTAGGTACTTAAGTACATGCATCATCTAAGTACCTAGGTACTTTACGCAGTCCGGAATAGAGGTTTCTCACTCTAACCCCTCTTGCCCCTGAGTTATCAACTACCTCGGTGCGGAGGTAGACACCTATTTCGACGTTTTCTTTTACTCAGTAAAGCTACTTAAGTAGGCTTCTCGTCGGGGTCCTCCCCTATAAACTTCATTAATGCTCTCTCATAACAGATCAGTCGCTGCTACCATACTGCCCTGTCTACAGCCTTGCCCAAGTCGTTAACGGGATTGCAGTTCCAGCACTTCCTGCTTTAAATATGTTCGCAGAACCCAGTATTCAGGCACTTGATCATAATTGACGACACAATTCTACTTGTAAAGTTCCTACATGTCCTCATAACCATCCCACTGGGCACGAGGCTTTGCTTCGGAGGATACAGGGCGTGTATTGTAACAGCCGCACCACTGGTCAGGCGCATGAGTTGTCTACTTAAGTACTTACGGGATTGGTAAGCAGTAGGTCCGTACTTGGCAAGTTAGATTGGTTTGGCAACGTCAGAGAGCTTTGCATGCAGCGAATTACCTAGACACGCCCGCGCGTATCATGGCGCCTGCGATCAATGATAGGACTACAAGTTAGAGCACTGTGACACAACCTCGCTAGTTCGGGGCCTCCGGAAAAGACATAAAGCAAGCGTACATGGAAGGAATATGAAAAAAAAAAAAAAAAAAAGATAGTACTCCGTACGGAATACAGCACCTGCAATTACGGTATCAATGACGGCATCGGCATTTTTCGCCACACGATCGTGTCGGCTGAAAAGACCCCCACTTGGCGCGCATAATTCTATTAATGTAATTGCCATTGGTGTGCCCCAACTATTATCTGCGGACATAAACGTAACGGGCAGGAGTACGTACTACATTGCAATTGATGCTCAAGTAGACGCCTACTTGTCTTGCTCCAATGGTCTGAAGGCTTAGATGGACATTTCACAATGCGAAGTCCTTTGAAAGGCTTGACAATATCTTCGAGGTTTAATTCGGTAACATTAGCCATGTCGAATGCTAACATTGAACGGACGGACTTGGATAAAGCACCAGTGTTGTATGTACGGAGGTACGCCTGTTGTTGAGGCGCTGAGAGGCGTTTATTCTACGGTCTAGTGAATTACCATGAATCCTTGGTGCTTTTTGCAACCCTGGAGTCTTGGGCGATGGGCGAGGGACAACCGTACCAGCTGGGCTTGCTTGTCTGGCACACGTTGGAAGATTTGGAAGTCTATGCGTTTTCACCGCTACCCACACGGTAAGATGCCGCTGGGCGGTTGGTGTGCTATGACAATCAACGGGACTTACTCGTTCGCTCTGCACTGACTGCGGCCCATTGGCATCCACGTCTGTGATGTGCTGGCATGGTTCCTGTGCGACTTGTGTGCAATCGCGACTCCACCCTCAAGCAGGCCATCGGGGGTGAGCGAGTACGGAGTACTAAATTGATCAATTGATGGCATTTCAACAAGCTTGCTGATTGAGCAACAGGGGATTGTTGTCGGGGCTAACTGTGGAACATGTACTACCACATACTAAGTACCTACTAAAGGTACCTAGTAGATTAGCACTGAATACGCACCAGCATCCAAAAGATTCTGTGGCATCTACTACTTTCGTAATCCGGGCCAAAGACCACGGACGGAGTAGCATTGCAGGAGGAATTTCATTGAAAAAGGTTCGGGAAGCGACGGTAGACAGACAGGAGACCAGACATGCTGGAGGCAAAAAGGCTTTTTCCCAAGGGGCGCGTAAACGGGGCCCGAGTCTGCATTGAATTTCGGGCAAGAATGTGGAGAACAGCAGACTGGCCAATGGTGCATCACGCTGACGCGGTTGAAGTATCTAAGTACCTATACTTATCATTACCTCAATAACGTCGCAATCTCCGCCTTCAACATGTATATCATCGTACATACACTGCACTTTTATTAGGGTGTACGGAGCACAATGAACCACTTTCCCCTGCCCCTTCCACTAAGTCCTTCCAAGGTTTTTTGCCTTGCGCTTGAGTGTTCAAAGTGGACAGGGAAACGCCATTCTTGAGCAGTCTCATCCAGTCCACAGTGTCAGCCACCCGGTTGGTCGCCCGTCCGCCCACCCAGTCTCCCTCCCTATAATTGTTTGTCAAACTTGTCTCCTATACCTCCCTGACTCGGCTTTACCCTCACAATCCTTCCACTCTTCAACTCACGTTCAACGGAAGCATTACGCTGACCGTTCTCGCGAATTTGCAGAGGCCTTGCCTACTGATTTCTCTCGCTCTCCTTGCACAGCCTATCGCTCGTTGATGTTTTTGTATTCGCCTGTTTTCCACTTTCTCACGCTCATTTGAACCGGTGGCGCCAGGAACAGCACTTGGACGCTCACTCAACGCTCGATTTCAACACGCGTATAACGTCCTCTTAGACTGTTGGGCAGGTCTCCTACCACCACATTGTCCATCTCACATCGATCGCCTCTTGCGTGCAATTTTCGAAGCGTCACATGGATTGTTTTGCGTAGATTAACCACTTCGGGCAAAAATGTCGGGCTATCCAGGTGGTCACAACGACCATTATGATGATGGCTACGGCCATCACGGCGGCAACGCTCAAGGGAATGCGGACTCGTATTATCAGGACGACCAGTACTATGACAACGGTTATGACGCCCGTGGCGGTCATGGCGGCCAAAATGGCGACGGGTATTATGATGAATCGTAAGACACTCGGACGACATGTTGGCAGCTTGCAGTTCTTACACTAACTATTCCCCTCCGACAGTGGCTACTACAATGCCGATCCGAATAACCCTTATCATCAAGATGGTGGCTACTACGATGGGCATGACCAGTATCAAGATGAATATTACAACGGCCAGGGTGGCTACTACGAGCAGGATTACAATCAAGGCTATGGGGGCCACGGCGGCCGCCATGGGTCTGAGGAGGATTCTGAGACATTCAGCGACTTCACAATGAGATCAGATATGGCTCGCGCTGCTGAAATGGACTATTACGGTCGCGGGGACGAACGTCATAACAGCTATGGCGATGGCCAGCGGGGTTATCGACCTCCTTCCTCGCAAATTTCATATGGTGCAAATCGCTCATCTGGCGCATCGACTCCCAATTATGGAATGGACTATGGCAATGTGCTTCCCGCTGGTCAACGCTCCCGGGAACCATATCCTGCCTGGACATCCGACGCTCAAATCCCATTGTCAAAGGAAGAAATTGAGGACATCTTCTTGGATCTCACTGGCAAATTTGGTTTCCAGCGTGATAGCATGAGGAACATGTACGATCACCTTATGACTCTGCTTGACTCCCGTGCTTCTCGCATGACGCCTAATCAAGCCTTGCTCTCCCTTCACGCGGATTATATCGGCGGCGATAATGCCAATTATCGCAAATGGTACTTTGCGGCTCACCTTGATTTAGACGATGCGGTTGGCTTTGCCAACAGCTCAACAAAGGGCTTGCGCCGCAAGGCCAAGAATAAGAAGAAGAAGAAGAATGCCGAGGAAAACGTCAACGAAGCCGATGCCCTTCAAGATCTGGAAGGCGACGACAGCCTGGAAGCTGCTGAATTCCGCTGGAAGACTCGAATGAACCGCATGTCACAACATGATCGTGTCAGGCAAATTGCCCTGTACCTCCTTTGCTGGGGCGAAGCCAACCAAGTGCGATTCATGCCGGAGTGCTTGTGTTTCATCTTCAAGTGTGCAGATGACTACCTTAATTCCCCTGCTTGTCAGGCCCTTGTTGAACCAGTGGATGAGTTCACTTATCTGAACAATATCATCACGCCACTCTATCAATATGTTCGCGACCAGGGATATGAGATTCTTAATGGTGTTTACGTGCGCCGCGAACGTGATCACAAGCATATAATTGGATATGATGATTGCAATCAGCTGTTCTGGTATCCAGAAGGCATTGAGCGCGTCGTATTACAAGACAAAAGCAAACTGGTAGATGTGCCGCCGGCAGAGCGTTATATGAA